CTGTCACAAGCACCATTCTATCTGTTTCGTCACAAGGTCGCTCTCAAGCTGCAAGTGGGAGAACAACTCCGTATGCTGCATCTGCCGAAGATCTAGAGGAAGCTGCTCGAGAAATAGTGCGCATACAAGACGACAACGAGAAGTTGATCGTGAAGCTCGCAGAAGAAGAGATCAAGCGGCAAGAAGTAGAGCTGAAGTTGAGGGCAGCAGAAGAGAAGTGCCTGCTCATCGAGCAGGAGGTCCGGGAGGAATGCTGGGCTGAAATGGAGGAGAAGATGGAGGAAGAAAGAAAGAGATGGCAGCATGCGTGGGATCAACAAGTGAGCAGCTTTCAAAGCTTTCATATTGAGGTCGACATGATACTAACAATTCTTAGGTTGGCCACAACCAAGAACATCTTGATAAGAAGGTCGAGCTAGTCTCTCGAGGAATCAAGAGTAAGTTTGCCCAAGGTCCTACATCCGTGTTACAAGGAGCGATGGCTGAGAATTTTCCTCCAGTCTACGAAGATCCGGAACCCTCGGCCGATGAGAGGATCGAGGAGTTGGAACGTGAAAACGACATGCTTCGAAGCAAGATTGCGGCATTGGAACGGAAATTGATGACTAGGTCCCCGACCAAGAAACCCAAGCCGCATCTTTTCCAAAACTGCGACTCGACGCACGATGGCAGTCTGATCAGCGGCGAGAGTGATGTGGAAAATGTGTATCAGAAATTCAGCAAGCTGAAACTGGCCGACAGCTACCAAACTCCGTCTACCGCGCCTAAAACCCCGGGGAAGAAGATGCGTAAATTGACGGCAAGAAGACGCGATTTGGGGCCTGAGGAAGAGTTGTAATTTGCAAGGCAGACAGCTAGGATTCTGATTCTGCTTCTGCTTTCTTTCATGTTCGTCTCGGGTATGATGATTCTGTACATGAGTGTGGACTTGTGCTTTTATTACTTTGGGGGTTCTATCTTTGAGTACAAGGTCTTGGTTTTTTTTTTCCTCACAAAAGATTTATTAGATACCACATTTTTTAATATTAAGCTAGTGTCTTTGTTTACCATTTTAACTACAATCAAGAAAGACATCACGTAAGAAATCATTTATACCATTGATATAAATAAAAATATAGCTAGCTAGCCACGATCCAGCCCTTGTAGCCAGCTGCAAGCCGAGAGACTATATCAACCCACGCTAACCCGTTCTTAAGAGAGACAAAGAAAAAAAGCCAAAACCCTCGTCGTCTATATCCATCCTATCCCATCTCCCATCTCCCGTCTCATCAAGAACATGAATGAAATGAAATGAAATGACATATTCTATACGCCACGTCATGATCCGCCGGGAAATTTAAAAGGAAAAAGGGGAAGAAAATAAAAACAGGACATAACATAGATCAGCGTGAGAAAAAGGGAAAGGTAAGATAACGGTACAATACATATACGGTACAGCAGAAACAAAAAAGGAGAAGAAGAAGAAGAAGGCCCGTAAGCAAGCAAGCAAACATGGGAACTGTGAGCCAGTCGATAGATAGATAGATAGATAGATAGATTCCGGCAACGACTCCGGAAACCGTTTTTTTTTGTCTTCTCTTTTCATTGTTCCTTTTCGTCGGCATCGACGTCGACGTCAATCTCAGTGTCTCCGCCTGCTTCTGGCTGATCTTCTGTTGCGTCTTCGTCTTCGTTTCCTTCTGCTGCTTCTTCTTCTGCTTCTCCTTCTGCTTCTTCTGCTTCGCCTTCGCCTTCTTCGGCTGCTTCGCCGCCCTCGTCCCCTTCCATGTCGACGTCGTCTTGCTCGCCTTCGCCTTCACCTTCACCTTCGCCCTCGGCCTCACCCTCGGCCTCCCGGCCTTCGGCTTCTTCCTCCTCTTCTTCTTCGGCGATTCCCCCCTCTCCTTCATCACCTTCGATCTCGTTTTCTTCATCGTCGTCGCCGGCTCCTTCGTCGGCTTCATCACCATCTGCACTAGCCTGAGCAGATAATTCAGAGGTAGGATCCGGTGACTTCCTTGACGGAAGGTTAGGGAACAGAAGAGGAGGCTTTTTCTCCTCCGCCTTGAGCTTTGCGAGCCTTTCGTCATCAATCTCACTGAGCTCGCTCTCGTCATCTGCGCTGTCATGGATGCTTGCTGGGACGCTGCTTTGCGCACCTGACGTGGCGCCTGTCGCGCCGTCTCGCTGATTCTCCCGGATCGGGAGAGGAGCAGGAGCTTCAGCAGCAGGCGCTGGGCGGGTTTCTTCCTCTGCAGGAGCCGTAGGTGCCTTCGCCGGCACGTTACGTGAAAGCACATGGCGATTGACAATTGCCTCCGCTCGTTTCTGAATGTCCCTCCGAGCGATTCCCTTGGTACGGCCACGAGGCGCCGGTGCCTCGGACGGAGGAGCGGATGTCGGGGGCGTCGGCGTGTCAGTGGGGGCGTCATTTGCCATGAGAAGGTGGTCAACTTTCATTCTCTCTCGGTTCTCTTCATTTGCCTGCTCGATAAACCGAGGTACATTGGCCTCGTACAACTGGGCGTAGATGTCGGCAACCAGATCTTCGAACATGGTCACTTTCATCAAATTATTGTTGAGCTTCTTCAGATCCACGGCTTCTCGAAGAAGCTCAAGGGTCGAGGAGTGAGTCGTAGAAAGATCATCCAAGTTTTCTAGCCTGGCTGAGTTTGTCACGAATTCGTCCCAACTGACGGGCTTGAAAACGCCCTCTTCGTGTTTTTCTGGTACGTTCCCAGCGCGGCGGATAAGCTAAAAAAATGAGTCAGTTGCAGGCCTTTATGCTACCTTCCTTGAAGTTGGGATTCCTTCTCACCTTGACGTAAACAATACAGATGTCTTCCCAAAGCTTAGAGTGATTAATGAAGTCTCCCTGCTTCTTTCTCACCCGACGTAATAACTGGTCGAGGCTGGCGCGGTCGTTGATCTGGTCCAGCAGGCTCACAAAGAAGTACACGTATCGCGTGGTATAGACGAAATGCCTTCCAGGCCGTTCGAATTCTGGTCGCCAAACTTGCAGAGTCATGGTCTTCGTGAAGATCTGCGGCATCATTTCATTCTTTGCCGCTGCGGCCGCAGCGGCATCTTTTTGATCATCATAATGGATTTGCGCAGCCTTGGTGAAGTTAGCATATTTACTCGTATTTGTGATGCCTTAGTAGGACATAAAAAAGAGATCTTACCCTGGCAATGATCCGATGATGCCAATTTGACTTGTCTGCATTCTTTAGGTTCTTCAATACATCTAGAATGTACGGCTTCCAATCACTAAGATCTTGGGGAGGCGAGAGTTTTCGAGCCCATGGAGTCTCTGAGAGAATCTTACCAGCCTCAGCCGGCTACAGAAACGATTAGCAAGCGCACGACTTGGAAACGTTGACAAAGATATGCTTACCTTGATCTTCTCTTGGCGGACAAGCTTATGGAGAACAGATACCAGCCTAAAGTGTGGCTCGAAGACAGGATCAGAGCGACTGTCTTTACGTTGGGGCAGAGTCTCAATAGCGTCCAGCAAGGAATCCAAAACGTCGTCAACTTCGACCGGCTTGGAACTCCCCCTGACAGACTCATCGCAAGTCAACATTTTCCATAGGCATTTGCTGAGCATGTAATGATTCCTATGAGACGATTAGAGCTGCTGTGACCTAGAAGGTTAGAAGAGTCGCCACTTACATCCAATAGTTCGGTTTATTGATCATAGCTCGCTTGAAGAGGTGGCTGGCGAGAGTCCACACTGAATACAACTTCATCTCTTTGAACGGTTTACCTTTGTACATCTGCTGGTTCTCAAGATCGCTGAAATGACGCGTAAAGTCTGCAAGACTGAACGGGCCCATTGACAAAGGCTCCCGCGATGATGCGTACAAACGGATCCCAAAGTCGGTGTAAAGGTCAGAGAGAGTCGCTCTGGATTTTGGATTTGGATCCGCGGTCCTGATCGCAGTTGCGACGGCCATAGCGTAGCAGTGGATTGCATTGCGTTGGAGAACCACAAGCTCCGAACGATTATTGTTGATTTTGTCTGCGGACCAAGTGATGTCCTCCTCGAGTTTCGAATCGTAGGTCTGAGCGAGGCGATACCAACTCTCCCACCGGTCCGTGCCATGCTCCAAGTCTTGTCGGAAGTAACTTATAGCATCGTCCAGGTCATTGGTAGGGACTGGATTGAGGCGTTTCTGAGAACGGAATTTCGTGAGAGAAGCATGACCGAGAAGGTAATACCACCCCTTCTTTGCAATTTTCGCGCTTTCGGTAGGTACGGGCATCAAGGAGAGATCCCCTACCCCCTGAACAGCACGGAAAACCTGGGCTGGGTTGATGGGAGATTTTAGGTACGCAGATATAACACGCTTATTGAATGATAAGGATGTATGTTTTGTCGACCCCAATGCTTGTTGCACCTTGTCGATAGTAGATTTCAACTCCGATTTCGACACATCCTTGATGCTCATCCGGTTTGCCTGCATCATCAGGAAGTCAACCATCATTGTGGCGGTGCTACGATCCAATCTCTCTGGTGGACAGCCATGATCGACAGTTCCGTCATGAACAGAGAACTTGAGGCCGTGCAAATCAAAGAGCACCTGACAGACGTCGCTTTCGTAATCTTCCTCAGTTTCCAGGCTCAGGAGCTCGCTCTTCATGAGCTTAAGAAGCATTTTCTCGGCGTACTTGCAACTAGAGCGGACGCCAACCGCATTGTGAACTGAGCGCAAAAAGTCGGCCCGATCATCTGCCGGGGTGTCAAATAACGTCTTCTCCTGTAACATACACTCTTTTAACAAGGTGTATTGCAAAACCCAGCAGCGAATTTGCATATCACGCAGCTTTTCCTTAAAACTTTCCAGTGATTTCGATAGTGGACCACGAATTTCGGGTGGAGGTACCTGACCGACCCGAACGGCGTCTTCGTAGAGTGCAAAGCTGTGAAGAAGTCGCGAGAGTCGAGCCACAGCAGACATTGAAGACCGGAGGTGATCCATGTCAATGCATTCAAACGACTTCTCTGGATGACTCAGTAACTGCGGTAATACCTTGATCAAAAGATCATTGATTGATTTCAACCATCTGAGCAGCGTAGCTTGACGGTTGTCGGCTGCTGCCTCCAAATACGAATTCCCTCGTATCTCTTTCACAATGGTCTCGATGCTTCGAAGTTGGCATGACACAACCTTTGGTGGATAATCAATGGCTTGGTAGGCGTCCTGAAGTCTTCTCCACAAAAAGAGCCGAAGAGTGGCATCGCCTCTGTCGAGGAAACTTGCCATCTCTTGTATTTGAGACGTTGGTAATGCCACGGCACTCTCGCCTGAAGAATCATTCTCTTGAACGAACTCTACTGACGAAGGTTCCAGGATCGGCTCAATGCTTTCAATCAGAGCAACAGGATCCTCTGACTCAGAACCGAAAATCCTCATGAAGAAATCCATGGAATTCAGTCGAGAGATCTCCTGATCTAGGGCGGCGACCGAAATTTCGGGCATGACGGCATTGTTCATGAGAGTAATCTTGAGGTCTCCGAGTGACAGCAGAATATGCTTGAGGTCTTGCAGACAAAGTAAAATGTGCTCCCGTGCAACATCTTCTGCCATGTTGGAGTGAAATGTTGACGACCATAGATGACGGAGGGAAATCAGGGTTCGAAAATCTCCAGTTGGGCCATGATCGAGAAAATGGCCGACCGCTGTTCGCGCTAACGTCCCCCATCTGGACAATCGGTCACGTTGCAGAAGTCGAGTACCTTCATCGACCTCGCTGTTTGGGTTATTGATGAGAGAATAGACATCAAGGTGAAGTTCGTAGAGGGTCTGAATCATCACCATCCGAGAATAATGTTCCCCGGTATACTCAAAGGGAGCCCCGGAAGTGGCGTGCTGGAGAATCCGTTCCTCAAGCTGGGTGATAGAGGCCGACAATCTGTCATAGATATACCCATCCTCTCTGAGCATGAGTTGTACCACGGTTTCCTTGAGCGCCTCGGGCCACAGCAGAGTAGTGTAAGGGGATTCTGCAGAAAACCGATCCTTTTTGGCAAAATCCGCGTCATGGAGGGAGTCCTTTCCAGGCTCAAGAAGCTTGGCCAACCAACTGAATGCAACTTCGTGCAGGTGAAGCCATTGATCATTGATACGTTGCACGAATGCTGGAAGTCCTTCGCCTCCAGCGAGCACCTGATCCTTCCCAGGTTTGTGAATGGGCTTCCTAGAGTGCTCGAGAAAAACGGCCAATGCGGATCGGTTCATTCCACGGAAATCTTGCAAGGATGTGGAACTATCCCCCTGCAATGCTGCCCGGGATTTATCCTCATCCCAATTTATCAGCGCACTACGAAGATCCCGAGACAGCACGGCATCAGGTCCCTTGGCCCGTATTTCAGACATATCGATGGATTCCTTTCGATCGTTGATCGGGCACACTTGCATTTTGAGTTCATCAATTGTTCCCAAATCCTCAACCCCAACCTTGGACAGAAGACTGCCAACAGTGCCAAACATCCAGTCGTCCGCATGGGAGAACACTTCCAGCCGGTCTTCGTAGTACTTGGCTTGGTCAAACCCAACTTCTTCTGTCTGTAAGAGGTTCTCTGCGTTCGATTCACGTGCACGGATTCGTCGACTCTTAGTCCTCCCGCTATCTGCAGCCTCATCGTTGCCAATGGATGCCGACGATCTCTTCCGAGAATTACCAGTTGAAGACTTGGGATCGGCTTCATCGGCTAGCGAGGTCTCTGCTTGATTAGAAGGCTCTGCATGTTGTCGGGAATGTCCCTCTAAGGATTCCTTCAACTGAGATTCTGCTCGCTGGTCGATGGAGGATTGATCTTCGACTGACTCCGCTGTGGGGTGACTTTCGTGTAATGTGTTCGGCAATGGCGATCCTTCTCGTGCCGGCTGATTGCCTGTTGCCTCCGACATCTCCACGTCCTGTGAGTCCGGTGATATGGCAGCATTGTCCTCAGTCTTTAACGGCTCTTTATCCTGGGCGCCCACTTCCTCCATTGCAGTATCAATGTCAGCGGGTAAGTCGATGCCTAAGGCGCTTCCCGGACCGAACTTGATGGCGTCCTCTTGTTCCTCCACGACTACTTGGAGAATCGCCTTTCCCACTGCAGTCCATGTCTTCTCAGAGGCTGTAATCATGTGGCGGGTCTGACGAGGAAGCTGTCGTGAACGATGGACACTGCAGACATCTTGCGGGAGGGTCGGAAGATAGGGATAGGGATCGGTAGGACCTTTGAGCAATCGGAACAGTGCCTTTCGAGGCTTCTTTAGCGGAGGCGCTTGCAGAATTGAGAGCTCGTCGCGCAGCGCCTGGAGAACCTTTTGGAGATCCTCCGTGGCGAAAGCTTCGTCCAAGCCCAACATTTCGGCTCGTGGGTCAAGCTCGTTATCGTCACCCACCAAGACGCTTTCGAGACAATATCGGGTAAGGCGACAACTCTGTAGCGCACTGCTTAGCCGCGCACTCTTTCTCCAGAGGTCCAGGTCCGTATCGTCTCTTTCCAGCGCCTCCGCAAACATGCTCAGGGCAGATTGGGATTGCGTCGCAATCGTCGTCGCCAGGTCTCCATTGGATTCTGCCCTTGTAGCTGCTGCCCGCAGCGTTTCCCTCAGCGAATCTAGAACAAACTGCCCATGGTTCTTGTATGACAGGTATATGGTCTGCGGCAGGGCGCTTGCGGCTGTATCGTTGATGTCGATTTCCGCAAGGGTATCGGCTGCGGCGTCCTCGACGTAACCCGCTTCTTGAGCGTCTGCATCTTGCAGCGTCGTCCGTTGGTAGTCCGAGAGCGACTCCGGGTATTTAAAAATCTCAGACTTGAAGAGGGCGGCATAAGCCTCCTGCGCCTGCGGATAGAATGCCGGACCTTGGGAATGAAGCTTCAGAGCCGTCTGGTACAGCTTCAGGGCCTCCTCGATCTGGATTTCCTTGGTATCATCAATCTCCTCCTCGATATCCTCTGGTTCGATGTTGAGGGCTACGAAGCTCGACATGGCGCAGGTTCAGCAGCGTTCGGCGGAGAAACGAAAGTGACAAGGATGGAATCAAGGACAGGCCATCAGCAGCTCTCCAGCTGGGAAGGGTGTCGCGAGACAGACATGCAAACAGCACGCCGACTCAGAACGACCACCGGGCGATGCAGCGTCGCTTGCCTGAGCTCTGATGCTCGATATCTGCTGAGAGCTCTGATAATACTGGTCGCGAACACGTCTGGCGCGTCCCTCGGCCCGCCGTCGGGGCTTCCCAAAGCAGGCTAGGGGGCTCTAAGCAAGCTGACAGCGGCGCGGCCTGGGCCAATCCGCTTGCGCTGCGGCCGGCTCCCACGTGTTGTGGCCAGCGACCGCCCGGCAGGCGTCTCAGGCACAAACAGGACAGATGGCGGCTCCCTCACTGCCAAACTTAGCAGCCATCCATATTAAACGCCCACCTAACGTTCTTTAGTAGTTCCACTGGACTGCCCCAGGCAATCAACCTTCCGTCAGCGCGAGCTTTGGCCGCAGTCCTTGGTTGTGCCTCGTGTGCCTCTGAGACCCTACTCTGTACCGTCCTCATTTCTCTAGACTCTTCCGCAGCTGATCTGGTCACCGTTGGTCTGGTCGGGCCTTTGTCCGCGCCATGGTTGCGCCCGCTGTGCCGGAGTACGTCTCTCCTAGCTGATCCTGAGATTCGGCATGCGAGGAGGCCATGATTTCGATTCTGTGGCGTGGTGTCGTGTCGACACTGCGTTTCACTCATCTACCTAGCGTGGACAGAGACTGACGCGCCTGTTGCGACTAGGATCTATGAAGAGGACGACCTCTACGCGGCCATCGACGCCCGTACCGAGTCGCTGCAGAATCTACGGGAATTGGGGCCGCCAGATCTGGTCTACCTAGTGAAGCAGCCCAAACGAACTCGAATCGCCAGGTGCGCTCTTACTCTTATCTTGGTCCTGGATCAGGCTTCTCCCCGCGCATACTTCCTTCAGAGCCGCGTCACTGACATGGTACGTCATCGGGATAACCGCTGTAGACGGGAGTTTACCACCATGTTACCGGCGTCGATGCTTCCTCATCCGCCAGCCTGGCGGCCTACGTCAATACCTTGACCTACTCGCCAATTGATAAGCAGAACAAAGTGGTATCAGGGATCTATTGGTTAGTTTACCCAGCATACCCCTCGCAAGATGGCCGGTCCATGGTGTTGTTGACAGCGTTTGTTTGTGGTATAGTTGCTACAATGCCTTTTCGCATGTGGACATGCGTGTGGAAGTCAAGATCCCCGGCAGTCTCGAGAGCTATTGCATCGATGAGAGGGGAGACAAACGGGTCGCGACGGACTCCCTGTGGCTTGAGACGTTTCTCTGTGGGGTGCTCAGAGCCTACTCCTACGCCGACGACGGGACGGGAGACGCCATCAAGAAGATTGTCGGTGTACGCAGATTCAACCCTGTAACCAACACAGAGATGGAGCAGAAATTCCTGGATGCTGCAGAGAAATTATTTTTCATGGGTAAGAAGATGTTTCGGTCGACTTGAGGTGATCTATTGTGCTGATCAGCTATTACAGGGAGACAGCTGAGCTCCGATCCCGAAACGCAAGTGCCGAATACCGTTGCAAACCACCTGACTTCGGGCCTCCTCAAATACATCCACACAACTGGCCGTTATGCATCCGGCATCAATCTTTTCGAAAAGCTGCGTGAGAAGGATGTGGAGGTATCGTCACTTTTGGCCCGGGTCCTGATCGCAGCCGACGAGGAGGTGCAAGCCGTCCGCCTGATGCACGATGCCCTGCAAGACGTGCCAATGGACTACGCTCTTCTTGATTGCCAGGCTGCCTTCTGCCTGAGCAAGGGTGAAGGTGAACTGGCGCTGGAATGTGCTAAGCGCAGCGTCACCGCTGCTCCCAGTGAATTCACTACCTGGGCTCGATTGGCGGAAGTATACGTGTTCCTCGAGAAATGGGATCTGGCCCTGCTGACGTTGAACTCGTGTCCCATGTTTACTTACCAAGACAAAGATTCCCCACGCATGCCTCCTCCGTCTCGCGTGATGCTTCCCATCCTCGCAGAGACCATGCTGGATGAGATCGATGAAGGTCAGCCGAAGCAGGGCGATCCTCACGACTACGTGCACCCGTCTCTCCGAAAGCTCCATGCGGCAGGCTACCAGGGAACGTTCTTGAAGGCTTACCAAATACTCACCAAGATTGCCGCCTCCATCGGTTGGGACCAGCTATTGAAGATCCGAAGCGACGTCTTTGTCATGGAGGAAGAGTACCGAGTCGAGCGCCAGAACATGGCGTCAAAACATGGCCATTCTAGTAGCCAAAACGCAAGCACAGTGGCTCTGCATCAGCCCTCCAGTCCCAACCCCGGCGCAAATGGGAACGGTCCCGAGACTGATGGTGAATCTTCCAATCAAGACGGTGACCAACCGACAGAGAAAACCAACGGCACTGGGGAGAAAGACGAAGGCCATACAATTGAGAAACCCGAGCAAACCATGGCTTCGGAAGTGGTCAAGTCCGGAAATGACGACGTGAGTGCAGCAACATCGTCAAGAAAATGGTCAAGGATTCTACTAACCGATAATCGCAGCCGGACCCCTCGCACACCTCCTATACTCAATTTCATAACAAGCGGCTCTGCGAGCGGTGGCTGGACAACCTCTTCATGGTGCTGTACGAGGATTTGCGCGTCTACACCATCTGGCGGACGGAGATGGCGCAATCTAAGCAGCAGGCCGTGGATTATAAGAAAACGGCAACGGAGTGGGAGATTCTGGGCGAGTTGGCGGAACGACTACACCACTTTGACGAGGCGATCGAGGCGTACCGGAACTGCTTAGCGATCCGATTCTCTCCGAAAGCGATGCGCGGGATTTTGAAGCTGTACGAGAAGCAAGGGGATACCAGAGGGATGCTGAATGCACTGATCCGGCTGATTGCTTGGCAGTACCGGTGGTATTCCGAAGTAAGTGGCAGCCAGGAGAGGCCATAAAATGGAGAAATGGGCTGACGCTTTTTTTTTTCCCCTTTTGCAGTTCTCTCCCGAATTGCTGTACCTAATCCGAAAGCTTATTGAAGAGGAAGGGGCTGTCAAAGTTCGCAGCATTGTGCAGGCGACCAACCTACCGCAGCCTGTCCTCGACCTGACACACCACTACTGCCAGCTGTGTGCGACATTCCGAAGTACCGGCAGTGATGTCTAAGCAGGTCGACTAGCATGTTTATTAAAGGACGACAGGTGATGACGAAAGTTTATAGTCTATATTTTAATTGAACATGTACCATTTATTTTCCGTGCCATGGATCCAAGTCTCTGCAAGTCATGCTTTTTCATCTATCTGTCGGGCTTCGGTTGTGTACACCCTTATTCGAGTGTATTGATTTCTTGTTCATTTTCGCCTTTCAAGTTGACCAATTTTATAATACATTTTAAATAGTTCACTGTCACTGCATGTTGAAAGAAGTCATGCCTTGTATCACGCGAAAGAATGGTGACCTCATGATCATGATCCTTTGTTTGCTTCTCGTCGCCTTTCCCGCTTCCTTGATTCTCTATCAGAGCGCGTCTGACGAAGAATAAAAGATATTCGAGGATGCTGCAAGTAATGGAGAAAGTTGTAGATGGAACTCTGGGCGACTAGCAGCTCTGCTACTTCAACGGCTGTATTCGATGCCGCCATCTACCTCTGCTTCAATCATAACGATAAATACATCTATAGCGATCCATTCTATTACTTACCATGATAATGTGCAGAGTTATTAGTTGTTCCGTCTAACAAGCTACAGAGATTGCTAAGTCCCGGGCAACCGAGGCGTTCTTGCAGATCAAGTGTCGGTCCTTCCTGTTCTGTCTCGTTCGGATGTCGGCTTCATCAGCTGATGTGAGAGCCTGGAGACCTGCATCACCCCGCATTATCACCGTTGCCATTGCAGCAATGCTTGCCGACTTCCCGGTCGATTATTGGTTTTTGCGTTCGTTGCCCTTTCTGTTCATATACAGCACAGGACCACTGGGACTGGGAAAAAAAGCACCTCTTCAACCTTCATTCAATCGATGGTGGTCAGTCACGTAGCAAATTCTCAGACTAGAGACGGAGATACATCTTTTCTTTCCTCAAGATTATTCCTGAAATACGAATTTTTTTTTTGATAATGGCACCTTCAACGCTCTCAGGGCCTGGAAGCAAGCAAACGCAAACACAGAAGTCCGAAGCCAAACTCGGATTCTCCCTCCCGGACTTCGAATCTCTTCCGGACAAGTACGGCTGGCCCCGCGAAAACGAGCATGGATATAGGATCAAGGAGCAACTGTGCGGGACAGAGCGACCGCTTCGCGTCATCCATGCCGGTGCCGGTGCGTCGGGGATCTGTCTGGCCAAGTTCTTGCCCGAGAGATTGAGGAATGTCTCGCTCGTTTGCTATGAGAAGAACTCTGACGTTGGCGGGACATGGCTGGAAAACAGGTAAATGCTCACTCATCACGATCTGGTTATAGCCATCGCAATGCATATCCAGGTATTCAGATAATACAAATCCTAGGTATCCGGGTTGTGCTTGCGATATTCCCTCTGTTGACTATCAGGTACGTCTTCTAGTTTGCCTTTTTTCCTCTTTTTTATGAAAGCATCCAATTCTAATTCAGGTTCTTTCTTCAGTTCACCTGGGCTCGCAATCCCAATTGGTCCCATTTCTACTCCAGCGCTCCAGAGATCTGGCAGTATTTCAGAGATCTGGTCGACCGCTTTGACCTGATGAGATATTTCAAACTCAGCCATGAAATTATAGGCGCTTACTGGGATAGCCGTCGCGGAGTATGGGACATTCACGTGAAAAATCTCGTCAGTGGGGAGACTTTTATTGACAACGCAGAAGTCTTTATTAATGGAGGTGGAGTTCTGAAGTCAGTCAAATAACAACTTGACGGGACTGCTTGGCTGGCTGACAGATCAAAAATAGTCACTGGAAATGGCCTGATATTGAAGGCCTTTCGGACTTTGAGGGCACCTTATGCCATACTGCGAGATATGATGAAAACACCGTGCTTGATGGGAAGCGAGTTGCGGTCATTGGCACTGGAAGCAGTGGTGTGCAAGTCATTGCCAATATCGCTTCCAAGGTCTCCAGGCTCTACACATGGATTCGATCACCGACTTGGATCACCCCAGGGTTTGCTCAGAAATACGCGGGACCGGATGGAGCAAATTTTGCATGTGAGCTTCCTGATACTGAATGAAATATCCGATAGCTAATAATATTCATCGCAGACACCGAGGAGCAGAAAACCTTCTGGGCAGAGAACTATCTGGAGTACCTGAAGTACTGCAAGGAGATCGAGAACGAGCTTAATCAGCGGTTCAAGTTTATCCTGAACGGGACTCCGGAAGCAGAGGCGGCAAAGCGAGTATGTACAGCCTGCATATTGTCCTTAATCGACGGTAATAAAACTGAATGCGCGTTAGTTTTCGACGAACGAAATGAAACGAAAGCTGGCCGGGAGGGAGGATTTGATAGAAAAGATGATTCCAACGACGTTTGGAGTCGGTTGTAGGCGTCCAACGGTATTTCCTTTTTCCCCCCTCGTGCTTCTCTTGAACCAGTCGATAGGTTCAAACTGATTATATATATGTGAGTGCATCTTTAGCCTGGAAACGGATTTCTCGAAGCGCTTACCATGCCCCATGTGACGACCTATACCGAAGAGATCAAGAAAATCACGGCCAAGGGGTTTATGGACCAGGCCGGCGTGGAACATGAAGTCGACGTGATTATCTGCGCAACAGGCTTCAATACCTCTTGGGTCCCTCGGTTCCCGATCGAAGCAAACGGCAAGAATGTTCAGGATCTGCATGCCGGCAAACCCCTTTCCTATCTCTCCGTTGGTGTTCCGGACAGTGAGTTGTAACTGTCAATTCCATTGTTTTACACCATTTCACTTATGAAAGCATGTAATAGTTCCGAATTACTTCACAGTCCTGGGGCCATATGGCCCCCTGGGCCATGGTTCGATCCTCCCGCTGATTGAACGCCTTCTGTCGAATTTTATCCGCATTATCCAGAAGATGCAGGTGGAGAACATCAAGTCCCTTGCTCCCAAACGCGAGGTCTGCGAGAAGTTCGCCGAGCACGCCGATCTGTTCCTGAAGCGTACCGCATGGTCTTCGGGCTGCAGCAGCTGGTTCAAGCAGGGTCGAAAGGACGGTCCCTTGACGATGTGGCCCGGCTCACGGCTGCTGTTTCTCGAGGTGCACAAGGAGCCCCGCTACGAGGACTACAATATCGAGTATCTCGACGGAAATCCCTTTGGGTTTCTGGGGAACGGGTTTACGGTGAGAGAGTACGATGGCAGCGCCTTGTCTTACTACCTGGGCACGGCGGAAAACCCCGGAGCATTGATGCCACTGGCCGGAAATCCTTGAATGGACTGTATTGTGGCCATTTGTCCAGATTGACATGATGTTCTTTTATGCCCTTTTCCCTATCTACAGAATGAACACGTGAGATTTCTACACCATCAGTCAGCGATGTGAGAATTGCCGAGTTATATAGTCTCATGTCTTTGTCCTCAGTAGGCATTGATATACGTCCCTTCTTTGATATCAGGCGCAAGGGTGCTCAATGTGCAAATTCGCAGTGTAATTAATAAATAGCTGCCGTCGGAGTGAGGAGAGACGTCGGATGATGTCACGCGCGAGACCCGTGACCGCGCTGGCTTCGTGCAGCCTGCCGTGTAACTCTGCCCGTCCCAGTGCTCGCGCTGGGGGCGCCCTGCGGCCGGCGACGCTGATTTGCGGATGGGTGCGGCTCCAAGAACAGCCTAGCGCGCAGTCCCGCCGGCCACCGGTTATTCTGGGTGGCGCCTGCTATTCTTGTCCCTAACCGAATCCAATCGAATCGGAACCGCCTTCGCCCGCCCCGAGACGAGGCACGGCCTGCCTCGCAACTCCAGCATCATCACTCTCCTCGCGCGTCCAGACTCGGCTCGTAATGTGCACGCACAGCCCATGGGGCAGCCTTGTCAGCTTGCCGGCGCCGTCCACGATCCCAGGCCGTCTCCAGCTTATCTGCACCTCAGCACAGCGCCTATGTCGACGTCCTCCAGCCCCCCGGACCCCGTCCTGCGCTCAGCCCCAGGGTCTGCTGCTGCCAGTAGCTCCCCGAGTTGAGTCTCAGAACTGAGGTCAAGCTCCAGCCTTCCGCAGCTTTCGCTGCTGCTGCTGCTTGCCTGCTTGCTGCTGCTGCCACTACTGCCAAAGCCATGGCAGGAGCAGTACAATGGCAGACCTGATGCTTTCCTTTCCTTTCTCTCACCCCCCCCCCTCCCCCACCTACCCTTGGTCCCCTGTCGCCAGGCGCGCCCATTCCATCCCCCCCCTTCCCCGGTCCTTTTCTGTCCTCCCTCTTGCGCCAACCCTCCCTGAGAGCGCTCTCACGGTCGCGTACCGACTACTACTAACTGCTCTCTCCCTCGCCTCTCTTTCCTCATCTGCGCGGCATCCCCTGCCCTTGCCGTCCTGCTCTCTCTTTCCACATATCAGCTCTCATCATCATCTCTCGTAGAGAGGTCTACTGCCCCATTAGCACACCCTCTACTTGGGTCGTCCATCTTTTGCCACTAGAGAAACCTCCCGTCACAAGCTACTGCCGACACCATGACGACCCGCAAGAGGAAGCAAGACGCTGAGGAGGAGGAAGAGCTCCAGGCTCTTCCAAGCGACCAAAGCGAAGAGGAAGAAGAGTAAGTAGAAAAATCTTTTTTCTTTCCCGTCCAGCAGGCTCTCAGTTTCCCTTCGGTCCTGTGTTATGCCCCTCCTACGGGCCCAATTGCGCCTGCGTTCTTCACTGATGGCGCCTCAATGGCGATTACAGCCACCCAGTCGCGCTGTTTATGCGATCACCGTGGATGGGTCGCTGTTTTACAGGCCATTGGGGTGCAATGTCAGCCTGCAGGAGCATTGGTCATAGGAGAACGCAACTTCCTCTTATAGGTCCGAAGACAGGGTTGCTGATGTGATCTACCAGATACGAGTCTACTGAAGGCGAAGGCGAGGACGAGGACTACGAGGAAGAGGAAGAGGAAGAAGAAGAGGAGGAGGACGAGGGGGCCGAGGAAGAAGAGGAAGAAGAGGAAGAAGCCAGCAACGGTAGGTTCCTACTCTCACCCTTTCCTCTCCTTGTCCAAATTTCCAACTACCCTACCACTGGTCCTTCGTGAAAATTGCTCAATGGATTCGTCTAATCGTGATCGCATAAACAGGCCCTGCTCCTAAGAAGCGAAAGACTACCCACGACGAGGACGAAGAAGAAGAGGAGGAGGAGGAGGAGGAGGAAGAAGAGGACGGAGAGAACGGTCTTCCTGAGGAAGAAGGAGAAGAAGAGGAGGAAGAGGAGCCGGAAGAGGAAGGAGATGAAGAAGAAGAAGAGCCTGAGGACACCGCCAAGACATCAGCCCCTGCGGCTGCTGCCGCCAAAGCCAAGGGGAAAGTTGTCCCCAAGGAAGATGGCGCTGAGGTTGAAGGCGAGGAGGAAGAGTGAACTTTTTCCTTGTGTTCTTTTTATTGGCAGTTGGCTGAGGGCTTCCACCGCATTTCGACTAGGCGGTTGTATGTAACACTAACTCCCCTTTTGGGGAGACAGGCCTTCTTGGATAGATAGACGTAGTTGGTTATCTTATAGGATGAGGACTTGAATGAAGAGAGGGAGAAAACCGTCTCCCTTTCCCAGTTTCGATGAGTAGAGGTCGTCCAGCGCAAACTCTTGTCTAGTAGGCTGTCTTGTAGCCAGTAGCCAGTAGTTACTAACGTTACGGTTGACGGATATCCATTGGATATCACCCATGCTCACAGATATCAATAGATTGAGAAATTCCGCCACCGTCCACTCACGACTCTTGTATTTGTATTGAATTGATCATATAAATCATACACGAATATGTACTGTAATATAAATAAATATACATGGACGTGTAGATGTAGATACATGACAACAGGGTGGGCTTTCCATTGCTCTGGAAATAAATAAATCAAAACAAATATATATATTAGAAAATAAATAGATTGTAAAAAAGTCCGTAGCTACTGTCCCAAATACTCGAAACCAGCCATACTCGGATCCATAAGATGCTCGTCCAGCCCGAACCCGTACGTCCCGACCATGTCGTAGATCAAATCTGGAGGAGGGAAGCCCTGGGCCATGGCGTTCGCTCCGCCCGGCACCGAGCGCCGGCTACCGGGCTCCAGGTTATTATTGCTGCCGCTGCCCCCGCTGCCGCCGGCGCCGCCGGCAGCATTGTTGTTGTACCAGCCCTCCTCCCAGGCGTTGAAGCGCTCGAGCATCTTGCCCAGCCCGCGCGCGATGTGCCGCGTGAGATGGCGCTCCCCGGCACTGACGCAGTTGAGCAGCTCGATGACGCGCTCGACCGTGCGCCGGACCTGGCGGCCGTCGATGTTCAGGTACGCCGAGTTCCAGTTCACGGCTACCTTGAGCAGGAACACGGCGGAGAAGGTGACCATGGTGTGCGTGAAGATGGGCACGCCGACGATCGCGTCCCGGATGTCCGTCTCCTCGAGCACCATGTTCAGACATGCCATCGCCGCCGAGATGGCGGTGTTGGCGCACTCCTTCCGGTCCATAGAGAAGACTGGCGGGTTGGTCGGTGACAGCGCGCGAAGCGCCAGCGAGTTGAGCTGGAACTTGGCGAAGTGGTAGTGGAGGACCACCCCTTTGGAAGGATAGGTGCGAACATACGGGCTGTCGGCTGTAAAAAGAAAAAAAAAAGAGAACTGTCAGAAACATATCTACGACCAGGACAGGAAACTGGAGACTGGATTATACACACCTGATCGCGGCTGCCAAAGCAAACGCCACTGGTCTACAGCCACGTTGTAAACCCTCAGCTGGCCAAAATCTTCCTCCGTCAATGCCTGCTCCGTGTCGGATCCAAAAGTGCGGTACGCTTCCGTGAGGATCACAAACAGTGCCACCTGCGCCATGAGACGAATGTCTCCCGGCACCACGTAGCGCGACTGTAGAAAGACTTCGTAGTTTTTGATCGCAGCGTCCTCGTGGATCACAGGTGGTCGTCCATAGGCAATGCTGAAATGGTGGTCACACACATAGAGCAAATACCAGAGCTGCGCCCGCTCGTACTGATCAGCGTGTCCTCGGGTCATCTTGTGGAAGCTCTGGTGCAGACCCATCTCCGTGGCGATGCGGACCGCATGCCCGGACAGCTTCCAGCTCAGATCAGAGAGCCAGAATGCGCCCACGCAGAGAGCCCGGATATCGTCCAGCGTGTGAGACCGCGTCAAGGCCATGCTCGACACCAGCGAGACAAATTCATTGTAGCACGTATTCAGGGTCTCGGTGCGATTGGGGATATGCAGTGCAGCCACCGTCAACACCGCCGCGGTGAGGAGGGTCGAATTTCGCCGGACAGACGTCAAGTCCCTGTGGGGGACCACGATGCCTCCCCACAGCAACTGGTTCATCGTCCGACTGAAGTATGCGAACAGCTCCTCGGCCTCATGTAGCGAGACATATCCCCGGGAGATGAAGTCCTCCTCCAGCAGGGTCGACTTGGGCTTTTCGACCGGGTTATTTCGCAGATTGCGCAGCTTGGTCACCTCGTAGAGACTGCGCATCGGCGCCGACACCAGCTCCGGGTCTTCGATGTTGGGCTCCTGAGAGTTCTCCCGGGTCATGATGGCTGTCGCAGGCCCCGTGCCACTTTGCGCCGCTTGCGACTCGTCATGAGAAGGTCGATGGCCATGACTATGGGATGCAACCGGACTCGGGCCACTGTTGTTGTTGCTGCTGCTTTCAGTGGGAAAGGATGAAAGATCGGGCAGTCCATTGTGGCGGAGAAGGTGCGATACGGCGGCCTGCAGCTGGTGCATTGTAGCTGCAGCCTGGGATTTCCATCTGATTGACAACGTCTCGTCAGCTTTTGCAAAACCGTTGTCATCTCCGCGCCATTGTCCAACGATACTCACGCTAAGTCATCGTCAACGAACTTCTGAGAGAAGTCGTTGACAATGCACTTGATTCCGCTGCGCAAGCATTTCGTGCAGCTCGTTTCGCCGGGTTTGACTTCGCATTTGATCTTGTGCCTTTTGCATTCCGCACCTGGAGTCCAGGCGTTGTGTCAGTCCACGTGGTCGACGGAGCTTCCTCCAGATTCTGCAGGGAATGAGCCTACATGCGCGCGCTTTGGAGATCTTGGGGGCAGCGATCTTGCCCTCTACACTGGGCGAATCATCGTCTCTTCGGGGACCGTCAAGGCCAGCTTCCAACGCGGAACGCTTCATCGGAGTTACGGTCGAGGCCATGTCCGTTGGAGATGCAGCCCGCACTGAATGCGATGCGGGCAACCCAGCCTCGGCAATGCCCCGCAGGTCTGTGTCGAGGAATCACAGGATGGTGCACGAGATGCAGAGTGTCGCCAGGTCTTGCTCCGAGTGCTGATCTGCTTTTTCCCCGCGTCTGGAGGACAAGACTTTTAGGATCGTGTCGCAATGGCGTGTGGGGAACAGCAAGCACCGCTTCGTCGAGCGAATTCCCGAACCCCAAGTCCGGGGTGCGGTGTGTGATGACTAAGCATCGTGTCTACGAGGCTACGACAGCATACGCATCTCATTATCCTCAGGATGATGCTCTGAGGTATGGATTGGTTCAATTAGCGGGTATGTGAGTTCTGTTGACCAGCAAAGCATTATTATTATTTCTTGTTGGGATTCGACTCTCATTATGCCACGATTGCGGGAGAGTAAGCATACTGACGAACGACATAATATTTATCCGCTGTTTACCAAACCGGACAGAAATGTGATTGTCTATTCAAGCCAATAAGGACAATAACAGGCATGCGGACCTAATTACAACAGCAGTCACCAAGTCCAACCCATCCTTGTTCCATGACCAGTTGAGCATTCTCTTGCCATCTCTTGTTCCCAGCGCAAGTGGAGCACCGGAAAGTGCCCGCCGGAGCAACTCCGACTCTCTTGACGGCGTTGCTCTCCGAGGTCGTCTTTCTGGCCGACAAAATGGGCTTCGTACAAGGGTTCTCTGGAACAAGTCCGATATAATCTGGCCTTATAAAAGATGCGCGTCTAAGTCTGGAGACTATTCCGCTGGTTCATAGCGAGACTGGTACATACAACATTCTCTTTGCGATTGCGATCTTTCTGTCGGCGGGGAACGCGGGGAAACGAGAAACGAATAGAAACCATGAACATTCTCATAACAGGCGCAGCTGGCTTCATCGGCCAGCTGCTGGCCAAGGAATTGCTGAATGACGATTCTTACAGGGTCATTCTCACCGACATCATCGATCCGCCCATCCCCAAAGGAGTCAAATATCCGCAGAACGCGAAGACGATCAAGGCGGACCTTGTTGAAGGAGGGGCTGAAAAGGTGGTGGATTCATCGCTCGACGCTGTGTACGCTTTCCACGGGATCATGTCGTCCGGGTCAGAGGCCAATTTCGAGCTGGGAATGCGCGTCAATGTGGATGCCACTCGCAACTTGCTGGATGTCCTGCGCAAGACCTGTCCCGGCATCCGCGTCATCTACTCATCCAGCCAGGCCGTCTACGGACAGCCGCTTCCTGAAGTTGTCGACGACTCTGTGATCCCAACTCCAGAGTCTTCCTACGGAGCAGAAAAGCTCATGTGCGAGGCGATGATCAATGACTACACCAGACGAGGCTTCATCACAGGGTTCACCTTGCGGTTCCCCACGATCTCTGTCCGTCCCGGGAAGCCCACTGCAGCGGCTTCTTCCTTCCTGTCTGGCATGATCCGGGAGCCGCTCAACGGCCAGGAGTCGATCATCCCGCTGAAGGACAGGTCGTTGAAGTCATGGCTGTGTTCGCCGCGGACTCTCGTTCACAACCTGATCTTCACCCTTACCTTACCGGCCGATTCGCTGCCGCCGCACATCCGCCAGATCAACGTGCCCGGAATCTGCGTCACAATCCAGGAGATGATGGATGCGCTGGAGAAGGTGGGCGGCAAAGACAAGCTGGCTCTGCTCAAGGAGGAGGAGGATCCCGCGATCAAGAAGATCGTCTACTCCTGGCCCACCAAGTTCGATAACAGCCAGGCTATTAAGCTGGGCTTCAAGCGCGACACGTCATTTGAGCAAGCCGTGATTGACTATAAGGAGAGTTTGGAGCAGCAATGAAAAACAACCAAACGAGGCTGAAATGAATCCATCCTGTCTGTATATATTTGCTTGTTATGATATTATAGAATTCTATAGAATTCATTAGACTACCCAAGGACCTCGATGATGCAAATAATCAATTCATTGACGTTAACACTGTTAATTTAAAAGTAAGTCACGCTTGTTCTAGAAAAGGAATGTTGGAACCGACTAAACAATTACGTCGATGCAATGACTGCACGTGACCACCCGACCTAGCGTGTCACCAGAACGCGTCCGTCAGTCAATCTACTCCGTAATTGCTAAGTCTCGCGCCATACAAGGCAATCATCGGCAGTTGCCGAGTTCCATATATTCAAGTACCAGAGATGTGACGTACAGTAAAGAGATTTTCGACAGAAACACCGAGGGGCGAATAAAGTGGCCGCAATCATGGCAGAGACTTGCGCAAACCCTCTCCTCCTGGGCTGGATCAAAGAATGGCTTGACCAGGCCCGGGAACGGAACTCCAAGGGGTACACAGTGTATGTCTGGCTTTTTTTTTTGAGAATATATTCTATCTGGAGGCTCGATGACTGATTCTGTTCGTCCGAAGCTACAAAAAGGCCTACGAGTCGATGAAGGCTTGTCCGCTGGTGTTTAATCATCCATCCGAGGCTCAGCAACTGAATGGGCTGGGTCCAAAGCTATGTGATCGCCTGACAGAGAAACTGAAGGCGTATTGCGAAGAGAATGGCCTTCCGATGCCGGAAGCGCCCAGTAAAGGTGCATTACTATTCTGCCATTTTGTTTTGCGTGAGGCGTTTCTTCTGACCTATATGAGCATGTGACAGCCCAGAAGCGACCATCCGGAGACAATTTACCAGACCGAGAAGAGCAGCCAGTGAAAAAGCCCAGAAAACCCAGACCATACGTTCCGGCGCTGCGGTCTGGTGCCTACGCCCTGCTTATCGCATTAGCGACCCTGGACGAGAATTCGTCGCAAGGTCTGACCAAGGCAGAGCTGATTGAACTCGCCCAACCGTACTGCGATTCGTCGTTTACTGCTCCCAGTGACCCAACTAAATTCTACACAGCCTGGAATTCGATGAAGACCCTTATCCAGAAAGATCTTGTCTATGAACATGGCCGGCCCGTGAGGAGGTATGCTCTCACCGAGGAAGGCTGGGAGGTTGCAAAGAAGATCAAAAACACCGCGACAGGTGCATCGTCTTCTGCTGGAAATCAAGCGGTATGCAGCCTGGATTCTTTAGCATTTCCGACCAATGCTGATTTGGATAGGCCAACACAAGAGACATAACGTCCTTAATGTCTAACCAAGGCACACGAGCCGCAGAGACCGAGAAGTCATCGCGTCGACACAGGAATGATGTCGATGATTTCGAGTTGGAAGACTTACATGACTCAGAGCCAAAGACCTCAACACATACTGAGGACATCTCTCAACAAAGACGCAATGTAGCCGCTGGTCGGCCTGATCACGCCCAACAAGGAGCGTCATCCTCAAATTCACCCAAGGAGCCAATTGTGCTACCTCCAGGCAGTTTCACCGTGGAGCTGGTGCTGGACTCTCGTGAAGTGCGGACCCAGAAGGATCGAGACTACATCGCCAACGAGCTTACGAAGAAAGGTATCACGCCCCAAGTGCGAGCCCTCGAGCTCGGGGACGCGATGTGGGTCGCGAAATGCAAGGACCCCAACTTCCTAGCCCGACACGGCGAGGAAGGCGACGAAGTGATGCTCGACTGGATCATCGAGCGCAAACGGCTGGATGACCTGATCGGCTCGATCAAAGACGGGCGCTTCCACGAGCAGAAATTCCGCCTCCGCCGGTCCGGCATCAAGAACGTCATCTACCTCATCGAGGAATTTTCTCTCACGCATGATTCGTCCAGCGCGAACGCGATGAAGTACCACGAAATGGTCGCGTCCGCCATCGCCTCGACGCAGGTCGTCAACGGGTACTTTGTCAAGAAGACGCGCAACCTGGACGACACGATCCGGTACCTAGCGCGGATGACCTTTCTGCTGCGGAAGATGTACGAGCCTTCTTCCGCGACGGGCGGCAGCAGCAGCAGAAGCAGTTCCTCCGTCGCCCTCATCCCCAGTTCCCAACTCTCCTCGTCCCAATCCTACCTCACGACGTTGAACAATCTCCGCGCCACCGATCCTTCCTCCACCACGACCTACGGCGTCACCTTCGCGACCTTCTCCGCCCTGACGTCCAAATCCGACGTGCTCACCCTGCGCGACGTGTTTCTGAAGATGCTCATGTGCACACGGGGGATAACGGGCGAGAAGGCGCTCGAGATCCAGCGCCGCTGGCCCACTCCGCGCGAATTCATCGAGGCCTTCGAAGCCGCTGAGCGTCAGGGTCAAAGTAAAGAGCGAATGGTCTCCGATAGGATGATGTCGCTGGTCGGAAGGAAGAAGGTCGCCGGGACGCTCAGTAAACGACTTGCCGAAATCTGGGGCGAAGCGGGGTAGGTAGACTGCTCGACTGCTGTCATAGAGGAAAATATTGTGTAGCAGTACATAACAAAATACCAATGATACATAATAACAATAATAATTAATTAGATTATATTACATTATATATTACATTATATGATCCGTGATGCTGGTGAACCTGGGACCACAAGGCCGATAAACAGATTCAAGTGAAAAAAAAAAGCCATCTCCATTCCTGGCACGTCATTACGTATCCACAGGTAGTTAACTCTACGTGTTCTTCGACTATTCATAACATTCGAATTGCAACTGTATTATCGATCAATCTATCTATCTAAAATAAATTCACTTTCCCTTGTGTATAAATTCGTGGGTATCATGATCTTCATAAACATGAGGTATTGCAGCAAGAGAGACGTTGAACGGATTGATATGCGCGATAAGGTAATGATTGTTATCTTTTGAGGAACTTCCGAATGGTCCTTCTTCCTTCAATCCGCAGGGCCAGGCTGCTCGACACAACAGAAACACTGCTAAGAGCCATCGCGAGTGCCGCCCACACTGGGCTCAACCTCCAGTGGCTTTCGACCGTCACCATACTACCCCCTACGAGATTTTGCGTTGTCCCTGTGTCGATTGGGTACAGCACCCCGGCTGCGATGGGGACCAGACAGAGATTGTACACAGCGGCCCAGCCAAAGTTCATCTTGATACGAGCAAAGACCCGACGGCTGAGAAGAACAAGCTCGAGGATGGTGCTCAAGTTCGAATTCAGCAGAATAAAGCTCGCGGAATTGATTGCCACATCAGATCCCGATGCCATGGCGATACTCACGTCAGCGGCTGCAAGGGCTGGCGAGTCATTGGTGCCATCACCGACAAAGGCGACAATCGGTCGCTTCGTCTTTCCTTTCCGGCCTCCATTCACCTCGGTCGCTGTACCTTCCTGAACTTTCCGAATAAACTCTGCCTTCTGAGTTGGCAAGACATTGGCCATCACGTTTGACCGAGGAATGCCCAGACTTGCTGCGACAGCGTGAGCGGTTGTTTCATTATCGCCAGTGCACATAAAAACGTCAATGTGTCGTTTCTGAAGCTGTGAGATCACTTCCACAGACTCCGCACGGATTGGATCTGAGGTTGCGAATATGATGGCCGGGGTAAACTGAGACTTCTCAGACTCAGTTCCGGACAACTTGCGTAATGCTAGGATCGCAGTAGATTTCCCAGTAGACTGGTATCTAGAGAGTATATTGGAGAAGAAGTATGATTCCAAGTCAGATGAAGAAAGTGATCGCACAAGGCGCTCATTGCCAATGGCCGCTTCATACGTGACTTCGGGGCCATCAACTGAAAGAGTAAACATTCCCTTCATTCCTTGGCCAGGTATCTCAGTGATATCGGACGAAGACACCGACAAGGACGCCTTGGAACTGCAAAAATCAGAGATCGCCCTCGCTATGGGGTGATTGCTTTTCTGCTCGAGTTCATGAGCGAGAGTCCAGGCGACTAGTTCCTGCTCTGACTCCTTTGTGAGCACTTCGTGATCGGAAACCTTCAGGCTACCACCTTCGGTCAAAGTGCCGGTCTTGTCGAAAACGATCGCATCCAGACGAGTTGCTTCCTGGAAAGCTTCGCCGCCACCTCTGACAAGGATACCTCGCTTTGCCGCCAATCCCACGCCCACAAAAAGCGCTGTTGGAGCAGCAAGCGCCAGACCACACGGACAAGCCACAACGAAAACCGCAATCGCAAATTGTAAGCTCCAAAAAGCCCATCCTCCGAGTGGATTGTCAAGATATCCAGCAGGTAGAGTTCCCGACTGGCCGAGCGCAAACCAAATGACAAAGGTAAGGATCGCGATGAGCGTGATCACCGGCACGAAATACGCGATGATGAGATCAGCAACTCTTTCCAACGGCGCGCGTTTGCTCTGGCCTTCCCGTACGACTCCTACAATCTGGTCCAGCATCGAGGTACCACCGAGCCCTGTCACCACGACTGACACCGGCTGACCGACATTAACGGAACCTGAATAGACCATATCACCTTTTGTCTTTGTCACAGGCCTGGACTCTCCCGTCAATGAACTCTCGTCAAATTGATACTGTCCACTCCCTGTAATAATCCCATCAGCTGGTGGGGAAGCCCCGTGAGGGACGTTGACCGTGTCACCAATTTCCAAGAGGTCGACATCGATACGCTGAATCTTGCCATTCCCATCAGAGTTTTCAGTTTCTGATTCACTTCCATCGCTGGCAGTGTTGGTGACTAATAATGCTTCTGTCGGTCGGAGCTTTCCCAAAGCCGTGATAGCATCTCCTGTCTTTGCTTTGCTGTACGCTTCCAACGAGCGGCCTGCGAGAATGAAGAGGGTGAGGAAGACAACAGAATCAAAGTAGGTTGACATGCCAGCGCCTGACGGAGTATTTGTCGTAGCGCCAACTATGAGGACAGCCAGTGAAGCGACGTAGGCGACCATTGTCCCGGCAGAGATAAGAAGATTCATGCTACCGAATCGATAAAATCGTCGCAAGATCGGAACCTTACTCCCTCGCCGCCAGAGAGCTCTAATCTCCTTCATAGCACGAATGTGAAAGACATCCGCTCCATAAAACATCACAGGGGTTGTCATAATGAAAAGGGCCCATTCTATCCGGGACACCATTCCGGCCCACATCGGCTGCTCCAGGAAAATCCGAATTTTATTGTCTGGCGACACCAGCGACATGAAGACGATACCAATAATAAAGGTGGGAATGGCCACAACAAATACGAAGAGCAGACGAGATAGCAATCGACGCCTCTCATGCAACTGCATTGCGCGGGAACGATCCTCGATGCTCGGAGGGTGATAGACGCTTGCTTTGAAGGCAGGATGTGCGGAATTGATAGCTGAGATGATCTTCCGCACAGTTAATGATGGCTGCTGCGGCGTGTATGTGATTTTCAGAATTGGATTCTTGACAGAAGGGCTCTGCTCAATTTCGAAGGAAGTATCGGAGAGGGCGTTCAAGGATTCAAGAATCTTCTCTGGACAGTGATGACAGAACATTCCATCCACACGAATCATGATGGTTCTGGTCGAGGAAGCAACAGAATCTTTGGGGTCTTCGGTCGTCAGAGGCACGCATTCAATGACGGCACCATCATAACCTAGATCTTCGATCTTCTCGATGATCTTGCTTAGGTTCTCTTTGCCCTCGAATTCCACCTTCCCGCTGTTGGATAACAGATCTACAGAAGCACTCTTCAAAAAGGGGAGCTCCTGCAGACCTCGCGTGACTGTCCCAACACATGACCCGCACGTCATGCCACCAATGCTGATATTCGCAGTATAATTTGTTGGAATCCGTGGCTCTGAACTACGATTTGATAACGGGCGGACTTCTTCAATCGAAGCCTCAAAACCAATGTCCTCGATCTCATTTTTGATCCGCTCGACTTCGGACTGGGCGCCAGAGTAGATGACTGTCGCGCTGTTTGTCAAGAGGCTCACAGAGACGTCTTTCACACAATCGAGCTGCTTGACTTGACTGGTAACAGAATTCACACAGGATGCGCAGGTCATGCCGCCAATGCTGATGCGTGCTTCGAAGTCCTCTGATCGTGGCTGACACTTGACAGTGACATCATCGACCGAGGCTTCAAAGCCGATGTCCTCAATCTCTTGAATGACTTTGTCAATATTTTCTTTTGGAGCACGATATGTCAGTGTGGCACTGTTGGTCAACAGATTCACTGACACCGTTGTAACGAAGTCCAACTGTCGTAAAGAATCGGTGACCGAATTGGCACATGCTGCACAGGTCATTCCAGATATGCTAATGCGAGCATCGAACTCCTCAGGCGGGTTTGGCGGTTCTGTCTCAGCCGGTCCTATTTGGTGATTTGGCATTGACATCGGCTGTTGAGTTTCATTGGGGAGCGGTCGCGGCTGGGATAGGAGATCTGGCCTGTTGTTTCTTGTACCACTGACGGAGATAAGATTTCTTGTGTCACCATCACCAGAGACCCGCTTGTCATACAGGGGTTTGCTTCCCGTATATTTCCACTTTTCTTTGTAGATTTCGTAGTTTGGTTGGCTGTCTTCGCTTCTCGACTTTGCGAGCTCCTCCCACCTACAAACATCACAGTTCTCGATGTGCCTGCGTCGTGCGGAGGCTCTCTGGCCACGGTCCTGCCATGGTTTCGGGGAGCCTGGAGTAGGAAGCAAGGAGGAGGAAACGAATCGGTTACTATAAGAGGACCATGACGATGTATCAATCTCCACGACGATCGAGCCAGCTTCATTGTACGTCGTTGCATGGTGGACCTCGAAAGCAGCATCAATTAACGCTGAGGCCAGGTCTGATGTTGCAAGCTCTGACCCATGATGGATGCGCACTTCCTGAGTCACAATAGAGACCTCCACATCTTCGATAGATGGAAGGAAAGCGAGGACCTCTTTGACAAAGGCAACGCAGGATGCGCAGTGGATGTTATTGGCCAACAAGACAGTGGTAAGGGTCCCGGAGTCGGCTCCATCGTGGGAGACACCAGCTGGCCTTGGATCAGTTTCGACTGACGCCAGAGACAACTGTGTAAGGCGTTTCTCATCCATAGTACTTGGCATGTTGGAGGTAGTAGTAGATCGTCGATATCGTAGGCCCAGCGCTTCTCATCAGCGCGACTCAGTTTGAAACTGAAAGAATGTTCCTCTGAGCTGTAAAGTCCTTCTTTTGGAGCGGTTTCAATGAGTATTCAACAGTGAAAGGTGATCAAAGCTGTTTTGATATACATGTACTCCGCAGTCAAGTGATGAATAACGATGTGGAGAACGGAAACTTCAACCTCCCAAAGCCGCCACAGCAAGAATGGAACAGTTGTAGGAACAAAGAAGAAAAGAAAAGAAAAGTGTAGAAAAGCAACGGGAAGAGCGATGAAAGATGGTAGAGGGTAAAAGAACCGCGAAGAAGAGAAGGAATGAAGGGGCTTGCGCTGTTCGTGCGTGATCGAGATCGAGACCAGCTCTCTCGGTCTTTGCCAGGAAACTACGCACAAATGCCGCAGGCGTGATTGGAAAGAGAACCGCAACGCTGTGGCAAGAAGGAAATCGCAGATCCCATAACAGTAGTCTGTCTGGCAGAGGATCGACAAGATATTATAAACTAAGCACGATGAGGAAATCAATAATGACCTGTCCATCAGGCTTCGCTGGTGATGCAGTGATGAAATAGGTATGCATCATCCATCCAGGGGTCCGGGCTCTCTGATTGGTACATACAACGCCATCCTCAAAACACCGTCGAAGACACCGACGTGGTTTGCTTCTTATCGCACACGTACCTGCAGAATCGCTCCACTCAGGCGTTTGACTGCTGTGACCTGCTCATCCAACCTGGGGGCGCCCTCTTCTACTACCCAACAATGGAACTTTGGTGCCACAGTGTCACAGTTATCAGAGTCAACGTGATCTTACAGTGGCGACTACATCACTAGGTAGTAGTCTACTACGTCTCACGCACAAAACCCTCCGTTTACGCGCTCATTAATTATTTTCGACTCTTATTCTCGAAAATAAGGTGGTCTATCTGGTCGACAATAATAATATTAATATTAATCGACTCCATTCCTACGTACTGCACGGGCTCCACCCCGAAATCTGCAAGACTGGGAACACTTCAAAACAAATCACATTATTGGGTATCTAACCAGACTCCAACAAATCTATCCGGTAAGGATGGTCGCCGTCTTGCGGCATGCACAACAAGACAATGAGAAAAACAAAAGGCCTTCGACTCGAAAATAATGTACAGTAGAAGTACAGTAAAGGGCAGAGTCCCCGATGTGTCCCCTCTAATCATAATCGCTCCCTTCGTCATAGTAGTCGTCGTCGGCGTAGCTATACCTACCAGCAAACGCCGCCTCGATGCCATCGGGATCGTCCCCTTCATCGTAGTCATCGCCAGCGTCGTCCTCGTCATCCAAGTCATCCAGGTCATCGCCCTCCTCTTCATCGGGATAAGCTGAGGGTTTGTCCCCGTTGGGTCGGTCTGATTCAGGAACGGGACCGAGGATTTCCTCCTTTGGCGCGTCTGAGGTATCCCTTGCAGCCGCAGTCGCCGTGGACGGGACGGCAGGTTTTGTCGTAGTTGGGCCGGGTGGTGTTGGCTCAACACTAAGGCTACGCCGAGAGGCGATACTCTGGCTTCTGCTGCTCCTGCTTGCGCTCTCTGCCTTCGCTTTCGCGGCTTCCTGCGCGCCTTCCTCGCCGTACAGAGACTCCAGCAGTCGATAATTGATCTTCCTACTAAACCCGCGCTTTTCGAGCATCCTCCTTGTCGCCTCGGCAGGAGTCGATGCTCGACTGCTCCTTCCATCCTCGCCCTCTTCACCCTCGAGGTATGTGACATCACCCAATCGGCCTTTGCGTCGCTTACGAGGCTTCGCGGGCACACCTGGTGCGGAGGCCTGCGACAACGCGAGCTTGAGTGCTTTAGCCTGCTGGGTCCGCAAATAGTCCTTATTCTCATGGACCCAGATCCGCTCCTTGATCTCCACTTCTGCTGGCGAAAGGAGACAATTCGCAACTTCGGGATCATCTTCGAATTCCGCAGCATCAATCTCTTCGCTTTCAGGTACTGGTTTCCGGACGGGAGCTTGCGATGGGGCGATGGCGCTTTCGACCATATCGGAGCCTTTCGACAACAACTCATTCATCTCGTTTTCTAGCGCTTCTTCGGAGGCAAGTTCCTCAGCAGTTGGCGGGGCTGGCGCCGTTCTCTTCGGTCGGCCGCGTTTGGGTTTCGTACCGTCCTCGCTGACGGAGGACTCTGGCGTTGGCATGCCATTTTGTCCTTCTTCAGGAGCCGTTTCATCGACAGGAGTGGCCGAGGGTTTGTTGTTTAGCAGCGCAGGGTCGATGGGTGGATCAGGTATGACAAAGCCATCGGCGTCGACACGCTTCTTCTTTTCTGGTGGTTGAGAGGTCTCCGTGGAGTTCTGGTTGCCCTCTATTTCTGCGGCAGTCTCTGGTGCCTTCCTCTTCCGATATTTCCCCTTTCCCTCTCTGGCCTGGGTGAAGGAAGGCGGGTCGTGAGCGTTCTCCAAGTGTACAGAGCGAAATTGGTCGACAGTTAAGTCACCGCTCTCGGTGGAGCTAAATTCGTTCAAACGCTGGTTGATCGTGATCTCCGTCACCTTGACGACATAGACCACTTCGCGGACAGTGCGACGGAAGTTATTCATTCGTGCCGCGAGAATCAGGGCAGCACCGCAGATACCGGCGGGCCGTCTCCCTGTAGTCATCCAATCTCGGTTCATTCGCTGCACGATCCGAACAGCTTCACTAGCCACTTGCATGGTGGCTGATCCGAACTCCAGCTGCTTAGCAAACCGGTATATCAAGCTCTCTGGATCGATTGGATTCATAAGGAAGACGGTTCCTCCCAGACGGAGTTCGTCCAGTAGCGCCTTGTAAGCACGGCCGAGTTTAAAGACATTAATCTGCACCAAAGTTAGAATCGTTGGCGAGATACTTTGTAGCAAAGAAACAAAGGCATATCACATACCATCAATACGTCAGCAAAGTCGATGAGCATGACCGTATTTCCTTCCTGGCGTCGACAGGCAATGTAGAGACACACTGCGGCAACGGTTTTGGTACGACGACCCTGGATGAAATTCAATCCCACAGCAAGCTTAAAGATTTGACTAGCTGCCTTTGTGGCGCTTTCTGGAATGTACAGCGCACGGGAGAGCTGCTGGATGTATCGATTACCTGGATCATCGTCAGTATTCGATTCTTAGTAGTGGATGGAGGCAACGCGACTCGGGGGGATGGCGTACCATTTTGTTCGGTGATCTCGCGACTCTCCATGCCTCCTCCCCGCTGGTACCCCGGGCCATAGCTGCGTGTATGAGTCTGATCAGCTCCAACGAATGTTCCTTGGACGATGGCTGCACCTGACGCGGTTTCGCCGAACGTGACTTCGGAGACAATGTTGGCTTCACTGATGACTGTACCGCACCCGGAACACACCTTCTGGCCCTCATCCTCAACAATATTAGGGGCAGGACAGCTAGGATTCGGGCAGGTGTTTGTCTTCGGGTGCGTCGGCGGCTTGGGGCCCTGTGGACGTGCTGGCGCCTGGGGACGCTTGATGGGCGTAGGATGGGAACTTTTCAAGCTCGCCAAACGTCCCACCGGAGGGGCACGAGGCCCGGTCTTTGGAGGGACCGGACGCGCGCCGGCGTTGGCAGTGGACATTAGGATAAATATTTTAAAAATGAGAAAAAAAAAATGAAATGTGAACAATGTCTTAATGTAAAGTAGAGACTGGGGATATCAAACGTCAGGGTGCAAAACCATCTCCGATGATAAGAAAAAGCGGAAATGGTCGGCTCGAGCAGAGAGCTCAAGATCAGACTGAAATGAGCGACAGGTTGATTTAACAGGGAAAAAAAAGTTAGGGGCCCAGCAGAGAGCAATAGCAGAGACCTGAACAATAAGATACCAAATCGGGCATCGAATCACATAGTTCGATCGGCGTATTGTCCACAGACAGCAGAGTGGATGGTGAATGATGCTAGCGGCGAGGGTGAAGCGAGAGCAAAATCTTTGCATGCGGGGATGCGGTGGCCCAGCGGGCTTCTTCTCTGCCGCGAGTCACGTGATTCATACCCAAGGAAAGACCAGACTGCTGTCGAACAGTCTTCGTTCGATTCCCGTCGAGTCTGTCCATTTCGTCCCACATAACCGTAACAACGCCACCTTAATTTTACTGACTGAAATTTCAGATAAGGGGCAATACGGGGATCTGTATGAAGAGAAACTCGTCTGGCGACCAAATCACTTGCTTGTCATTCTCCCTGTTCTTCCCCACTGGCTTTGCACCAACATTGCGAGAAAAGAGGTTGTCTATAGCAGCATCATGTAGATGGATGTGGCCAACATCCACACCGTAGAAGACTCCGCATCAACCGAGGCAAAATTCATTGTTATGTACCATTATCTATTTTTCCTCATGACCCTAACCCTTTTACATCGTTCGTGATAAGAAACAGAAGATACACATTAAGGGTTCACTGGAGATTTGGTGGCTACTCCTGGGACCCTGCGACTCAACACCCGCAAATACTTAGTTGATTTACGACATATTTGCATACAAGATAGTAGTCTCGACAGTCTCTTAATTCTTTTATTTTTTTCTTTTGCGTCGATTATTAAATTAAGTGCCTTTTGACTTACTGTGATCACGTTCTCTTTCTTCTTCTCTTTTTTTTTCTGGCGAACCCGACTAACTTTTGAACCCCCCGAACCCGACAACGCCAAGAAAAACAGATTATACAACACCTCAAAAAAAAAGACCTCACAAAGAAAAGCCACTATTCCGAGTAGGAGGTGACGGAGACCGTAAACAAGGAAAAGCGTCCTGACGTGGGAGTCGAAATTCCATCGGCAGTCGAGGCTCATGAGTCGAGGTCCATCCCCGTACCCATGACCATCTCGTCGCTCAAATCGCCGTTCGCAGCGACGATGACACGATCCTCTTTAGAGACCCGTGCGATAGGGATCCCATTACCCACGACACAGTTCACCGGGACACCTTTGTCTCCCGTAACCCGTTCGGGGGGATCTCTCAGCGGCTTTGAGGATCTCCGTGCCCTCGAATCTAATGGGCACAGACCGGAGATTCTGCAGGCAAAGATCCCAGGTCGAACCGACCAGCTGAGCCTCGGTCAGGTCCTCTTTGAAGAGGTAGAAGGGTAGACGGGTCGAAGTCGAAGGGCGACGGGGCGGTGGCGCTGTTGTGTACAAAGGTATTCATAGCTGGAGTTGGCTGCGTGGCTGGCTGAGCAGCTACCAAATACGCGTTCATGCTGCGGTTCTTGAGTAGAATGCGAGCATTGTAGAGATACCTGTAAAAGTGGTTGTTGATGTATTTTTCCCAGCCGCACACAGCAGGTGCCATGTCGTCATCGTGGCTGACGCGCTGCCAACTGATCCCTAGGAGACAGGTAACATCATCGACGCGTGGTTCTTCGGGGATAATCGAGGAGCTGTTCTTGCTGAAAGAGCGGCTATGATCGTCGTCGCTGGTGCGCTGAACTCGCTGCCGGATCGAGGCAAGGGCGATGTCGTCTAAACCGGGAGCGGAAGGGTCGAGGCGCTGGGATTTACGACTGGGAGCAGCTGAACCATTCGCATCGTGAAGCTGATGTGACCTGCTCGAGACCGGAGGGGCAGCAGCAGCCTGCTGTTCAGCCAGCTCTTCATACCATGTGCCGGTCTGGCTCTCAGCGGAAATGGCCAAACCGGTTCGAGGGTTGAGCAGCATCATGCCCTCCCCATAGATAGGCTCCTCCTTGACAGCAGGGGCAGGTTTGGAAACGAGGGACAAGCCATTGGATTGCTGGCCATTGGTATCATCATCAGCATCAGTGGCAGATTCTTCCCGAGATCTCTTGCGTGACGGGTTCGTGAAGATTGGATTGGCGGAGGATGCAGGGGTCCATGACGACGAGTGACCCGTCGTTGGCTTAGTCGAGGTGGAATGAACACCGTCCATAGATAATGGGCTAGAATCGGTCTGGAGACTCTGCGAGGCAGTGTCAAACGTCGATTGAGACGGGAATTGAAACGACGGATGGTCCTGGGGAGGGGAGAGGACCATAGTCGGGCCGTCGGAGAAGGGATTGTAGAGAGTCGGACCCATGGCGATGATAATTTACGCGATTACGACGAGGTGGAAAGCGAAGCTGTAACGAATCTGTTTGTCTGTATAAAGGTGAGCTAAGACACAACGAGTTATAGCAACCGTCAAATATCAGTAAGACCGTTCCGTAACGAAGGCGAGATTGATCCGGGATGCCTGGCAAGAGGCATGCGAACGGGCCGACAGTCGTCAAGGACAGAGATGTTGTCGAGCCGGGGGAAGAACTGAAAAGGTAAGTAGCTCGGTGCAGGACAGAGAGATGAGACAAGACAATGGATACTTCTCAAGAGCTAGGATGGTAACGATGTAGCAGTCCAAGAAAGGATTGGGAAGTAGGACGGAAGGGGGAGAAGTAAGAGGAAAGGAGGAGAAGAGAAAGAAGAGAGCCAGGTGAGACCGAGACAAAAACCACGGGTTTATGGGACGGCCTGAGGTGGATGAAGAGAGCCAGAGTTTCGAGGCTGACGATAGCAGACGTGAGGTTCGGGAGCAACGCTTTCTGCCGCCCTGCGATGCAATGCGGAGAGTAACGCAGCCAACAGCAGCGAATGCTGAGCTGCAGGGAAGGTCCTAGACTTAGTCCCGGAGCTGGGCGGTGGAGCTTGAGACAACCGGAATACGCTGCCACTGGAGCAGCCGGCAGCGACCATGGGCGGATAATGGTATGGTATTGTATTTTCCGTGTAATGATTACCTCGGCGGCTCGGCGAAAGACGGCGGTGGGGTGGAAGAACGAACTCAGCCAATGGCAGTGCGGGGCTCCAGATTCTTCCTGGGAGACGATACCGCCCATGGTTTCCATACCGGAACAAAACCGTGACAGGCATGGCACGCTGCCAGGCAACGGAAGCAGCGGCAGTCATGACGATACCAATACCAAATCGAACGCCCCCGTCCGTGCTCATGGGCTGAACGATCCGCCCTAAACCGAAAAGGCAAGCGACCATTTCGATCACTTGCGCCTTGGTGTGCGGTGGCGCCACAGCACGGTTGAATGCCACCTGCTGATTTGCTGGAGAAGAGACGGGCGTTACTTGGCGTCACCTGGGGGGCGAATAATGGCTGAGGATGTCGTTCGCTCAGTGGGACTCGCGTCCATAGTGGAGATAGCCCAAGCGAGCCCTCGGATCCGAGAAAACCCTTTGCAGGGGTCTCTATATTGGCTCATTGGCCGGCAGGTATAGCCTTAGGCACTGACCAGGCATTGACATGACGGAATCCAACAATCCCATGCCGATGCATGGATGTCACGCCTCGCCGCCCGACTAAGCCAAAACAGGGAGATCCGGCGTCGCTGACGATTCCTCAGGACAAGGAGCCAGGCAATCAATCCTGGCCATTGCTGGGGGGAGCTGGTGAGGGTGAGCGCCCGGCAGGGTGAGCATCTGGCAGACACAGCTCGAGGGAGATCAGATGCACGTACTTTAACACTAGCATTTTCCCAATTGTCGGAGGCAGATCCGCTGAACACACCAAGTAGATGGTCATGAATAGAGACAGTGAAGACATCGTAGTTATATAGCAATTAGTTGATTTTCTATCTCGACACAAGCAACAAATGCCTGCACCCAAACCCCGGTGCACCTTCTATTCTAGACATGGAAATAAAGCAATAAGATGCACATATGATCACAATACAATGATAAAAGGAGTTGCAAAGGGAAAAAAAGAAGAAGAAGAAAGAAAAAGAAAAACGCGCAAAGTGAATGATCTCGAGACAAGAATCAAAACAACAAGGGGTAGAGCGAATTATAATGTATAAGATCCGCACCCACCGAGTCGAGAAAGTAGGAAAAAAAGTGAAAGAAAGTAGGGAAAAAAAAACTCATTCAAATCCTCCTCGGACACTGGCTGCATTTCCAGCGGCAATCCGGCCGTCGCAGGTCTCAGTGTGAAGGACCTCTTCTTATTGTCAATGCAACTCATCTCGTGGCCTGTATTTCATCATCAGACCTTTTTCGACCATAGAAACACCAAATCCACTCAATCCCGGTCAGCTTTCGCAGGCTTCCTCGATTAAGTCGTGACCTTGCCGACGTAAAGCAAAACGATATTGTACACCTTGTCCTGTAGTCTGCAAAACAAGTAATGCACAAATACCACCGTATAAGCCCTGAATTTCGAAGAACTCAGTTGTCCCCAAAGACTCCTTGTCAGGACTAGTAGGTTTTAACAACACGCAATTAGGCGTTGCCTGCGGTCGCGCCACCAAGCACGCCCTTCACCTTGTCAATGGACTCCGGGGCATAGCTAGGTGCAAGCGCACCAATGAAAAGGAAGAAGCCAAGAAGAACGGCACCAATGATGATCGCCTTGCGCTGAGCCGGGTGCTTGGAGCCATACTCGGCCCAGGAGCGGTTAGCCTGGCTCGTGTATTCCCTGATCTTGTCACCGCCGAGCTTGTAGTAAACCAGACCAGCCAGGGCGATGGAGTAACCGAAAAACTGAGTGGCAGTGACAGGGGTGTGCCAGATGATCATCGAAGCCGCAACCAGAAGGATATCCTTCAGGACACCGCAGAGAGTCATCACGAGGGAGGAAGTCTTGCCAATCTGCAGAAAGAGCATCATGAGCACCTAATGCTAGATGTACCGGATCTGAGAGCAAAAAGGATTGCTTACCAGGAAAACAACGGAGACGTTCAGCAAGAAAGCGACCATGGCGTTGGCAATCAGAGTCAGAACGCCCACATTGTAAATGTTCTCCATAGTCATGTTAGGCACTTCCAAGAAGAGAGCCGTGATGCCATTCATGACAGCGCAGACTGGGGCAAAGTAGTACAACGAGACCAGAGGGTCCATCTTGAACTCGGCAGAACTCAACAGACGCTGCACCATGACCAGACGAACGGCCTCGAAGACAATACCACCAATCTGGAAGAGGAAACCGATGAAGACGAATTTAATCTCGCCAAAGGAGGCAATGACGACACCAATGACGATGACGGACACATTGATAAGAACTTTGAAGTTCACTGGAGCCATACCCAGACCCCACGTCGCGAACAGGACAGCAACTGGCGTGGTAGCCTGAAAACCCCATTAGAACCCGACAACTATGAAGCTTTCCACCCCAGCCGAGAGGCAAATCTCACCTTAAGCATCTGAATAAAAGCAACACTGAGATAAAGGTATGTCACATTGCCACAGATCAAGCTCAAGCTGAAGAAGAGACCGATAGGCACGATAGCACGGAGGTAGACACGACCCGTCATCTTGACAGTCTTACGGCCGTCAAGCAGAGTGGTCGTGCGGGCCAGGATCTGGGTCATCAGGGTCGCAAAAGCCAAATGCCATGTTGTGAGGACGATCGCTAAAGGCACGTCAGAAAATGGCACACAAAACTATCGACAGATGACGTGGTAGGAACATACGGAAGCCTGTTCAGAATGACAGCTGTTAGTATCGCGTGAACTCGATTCGCATCAGGATATAGGTCTGTACTCACGGAAATTCGCATAGTCGAGGAGATGTTTGTTGAAGAGAATGACACTCGAACTGAGAGCGATCCAGGCACTGTCCACGACTGTGAGCCAAGTCCACACCCGCCTTTGCCCATTCTGGTCATGCGGGAGGAGTCACACACCTCACATAGAAAGCGGGATGCAAGGCCGGCTTAGGAGGCTCCGGCTTCTGAGCAGCCGGGTTGACAGTGGGCAGAGTAGGCTCCGAGCGAGAAACCTCGCCCGACGTGCGGACCTTTTCACCTTCGGAACTCATGGTTGCCAATGCGCGAGCCTGGTCAGCAAGAAACCGTTGGAGATCGAACGGTCGCGGCCGAAGCAGGCTGCTTGTGCCAAACGCTGCGGAGGCCACGGGGAACAAGTTGGGAGAAGAGGAAGAATAGAAAAAAAGGAAAACAGAGAAAAGAAGTAGTCAGAAGGGAACGAGCGGCGACGGTGAACAGGAGCCAGGAAACGAAAAAGGAATTTTTCGAATTTAGAACAGTGGTACGTAAACGGGCATGGGACGGCAGCGCCCGGAGTATATGCCTTCAAGGGATGGAATGGGGTGGAGCTTTGGATCGTGTGAGGACGAGATGAGGGAAATGTGGGAGAAGCTGGTGAGCGAGGCCGGGAGGACCAGGAGAGCCGGATGCTGAAGACAGGCTGGTTCGACCAGAATCAGATCGCGTTCCCGTCGGACGGGGTCGACTCGCTGTTTTGGTGAATCTGGATCCTGTGCTGTAAGCGATGGGGGGCAGCAGGGAAGGGGACTAGGCAAGTTATCCGCCGCAAGCAGGCAACGTGGGTGGAAGACGTGGCAGGAACCTCGACTGGGAAAGGGGGGCCAAGCCGGTGCCGGCTGACTGGGCGGGAACGGAGGCGGCTAGCTCTTGAAACAGCGCGCACGGCTTCACCGACCGGTTTCAGGTGCGCATAGGCGCTCCTGAGGCCCACGCACCGCGGCCAGGAGAGGCCACCGACCCATGCAGCGACCACGGGCCCGTGGCAATGTAATTTAAGAGCGTGTGATGGTGGGAACGGTGGATGCTTGTAGTGCTTAATCTGTGCTGTGCTTGTGCTGTGGCTCTGCGATGTCGGTGGCTTCCAAATCGTCATCTTCGTCCCGGCTTCTGGAATACTCAGAGCAGATCTGCTAAAAAAAAATATGTGTCTTGGCCTGCTTAATAGTGACACCAGTACGGAGTACTCCATACTCCGTACTCCCGTCCGTATGGAGGTACAGAGTACGGAGTACAGCATGCTCATGCTCATATCAAAGGTACAGTACGGAGTACATGGATGTGATCTCTACCATTTGCTAGCCCATATTACTCCGTATTATGCTGGAAGCCCTGCGTGGGGTTTAGCGGAGCTTGGTCGCGTCCCTTATCACCTGGCCTTGCAGACGGGCCTAAATCTGAGATGACAGGCATGAGCCGTCAAGGGCGATCTGGCCAGTTGTTAATTTCAACAGAAGTATTCGAGACGATGGACAGGCTAAGATGGTATCGACTACGACCTACGGAGTGCTTAAATATCCAACCTCGCCCTGTTCTCACTCAGTCAATTGCTACCCTGCACGGAGGACTCTGCAATCTCCCAGTGTTGGACTTCAGGGTGATAATCACCATCTGATTGTCAGTGGTAGTATTGGATTTGCGGCAATCAGTACGAGTCGGAATGCATTAATTTCGCAGTGCTGCTAATATTATAGCGTAGCAACCATCACTTATCTCAATTTAGAGATGGGAAATTTGAGATTACACTGGATGAAGTATTTTAACACGCAGTCTTTGCTTTTCTTTTGCCCGGTCTGACTAATCAATCACAAATACGGAGGAGGATTTCATTTTGACCACTTAAATTCCTCAAGGCCCTTCCCAAACTTCGGGAGCCTTTCACAAAAGTTTTCAGGAACGGAACCATTGTCACCTTTGGGAAATTTCGATTTCAATTTCAACTGGCGTCCCTACGATCATCCTGTAGATCCCAGCTTCCGTTCCGGCGTACGGAGTAACAGAGGAAGAAGATGGCTTCAGGGATCCATCCGAATGGTGATATCCTTCTTGCACGGCTCAGGCCGCCCGCATTGGGTTGGATTGATTAATATTACACGCTGATCCAAATGGCACCGCGGCGTGCACAGCCTTCATTACGCAAGCTGTTCCTCTCCGATTCCAGCGAGTCAGGTGGCAGAGAACGACACGATGGCCCTCCCTTCCTGGTGGGGAATGCGGCGATCTTACTACCCTTTATGCCTAAGTTGACGTCCATCAATCTCATCTTGTTCGCCGAACCTGCATGGGGGCTGACCCACCCAAAACCCCTCTACACACTAGGAAAAGCTTCATCACCGCATGAGCGCCCCGTGGAGTCGCCCACTTAACTGCACTCCGTATCCTCCCCTGGGATGCTCAATCAGCTGGGTTGTAGTTCCCTCCCCACTGTAACTAGCGGAACGTGGGCCTTTCTAGGGTGTACCTAATTAATGAGGTGCTCAATGCGTTGTTACCTCGTGCTGGCAGTAGAATCGAGGACCCGGCCTACGTAGGAGTAGTGGTGCAAAAGCCGCTCCAGTCAGGAACCAATCTCTTCCTTCAAGTGTCCGATGGCGACAGATCTGCCAGATATGAATGGCTCCCTTCTGATACTGGAAATTGAATGCCAGGTGTGATGTGCCATGGGCGTTTAGGAGAATCGCGCATGACACTGATCGGCTTCCCCTTTTTGCTCGTTATCCGACGATAATCGGTGGAACCAACTGCCCTCGCAGGCGCTGTAGGCATGCAACCGCCTTATCAGGTATTTTTGCCAGTCGATCGAAGAGATCGGCCATTATTCACCTATCATTCGAGGAAGTGGCAGGTCGATTCCACTGCCCAGTTTGTTAATAACGCCCTTAATTTGGCAAGGTGATATCGACGGTTCCGGTAGCAAGACAGCACAACGTGGCTGTCACAACGCATATGCAAATGTAAGGCATGGCGACGCTGGACTAGAACCATGACGACACCAATAATGAATCAGCAATGACCGTATGCTTGTCAATTGGAAAGGACAGATAGACACCTCCAGGATACTCCGTACAGACCTTAAAAAAAAACCCTCGTTCTTGCCAAGACTGCTTGCGTGACTCGGGGCAACATTATTACCAGATAGCTGCGCCCGGAAAGGGACCTCAACTGGACGTTAGTGTAGCTCTAGGTAGAGCTTAGCTTGCAGCCAATGTCGGTGTCAGCGGTGGCGGCATTTAGGTAGGAATCGCTCTAGAAGCCCTAGGGGAGAGCGAGCAGCATGGAGTATTCCGCAGAGTTTGTTTGGCAAGGGCCCGGGCATTGGCCCTCGTGCCGCAGTGCTAGAGCAAGCCCCTTTCCAGGGGACTCCACCAGACCCGAACGTGCACCGTGCTATCACAACGTGAAACACACACCGCCCACCCCACAGCAGCTGAGGCAACAGAGGGCTCCAAACTTCGTGTCAACTTCGCTCGACTGACATTCCTGTCTCTGCTTCCAACCCCTCAAAAAGTCGTCCCTGCCTCAGCAGTGCTCGTTTTTCTATGCTGAACATCGCCCGCAAGACCTTGAGTCGTGTGCCCAGCTTCCAGGACATTCTCCAAGGCAGGATGAGCCACCCTGACATGTAAGAGCTGCTGAATCCCGTTGTCCACCGCCGGGCGTGCCAGAATCCGAACGCTGACCGCATCGTTGCTCTTCTCTACAGCTCCGTTGACGTTCTCGTCATTGGTGCAGGCCCAACTGGCTTGGGTGCTGCGAAGCGCTTGAACCAGATTGTACGAACCATCCACCCGCTTGCTGTGTGCCATTGAATCGCGAACGAACTAACAATGTTTGCAGAACGGCCCGACATGGATGATTGTCGATGCCAACGAGACTCCCGGTGGTCTGGCGTCGACGGATGTGACCCCTGAAGGCTTCGTAAGTCTCGTCGAGCTTGACAAATCCTCTTGGATCCTAATGTGAACCTGGTTGTAGCTCTACGACGTTGGTGGCCATGTCATCTTCTCCCACTACAAGTACTTCGACGACTGCCTCGATGAGGCTCTCCCCAAGCCCGATGACTGGTACCACCACCAGCGTGTCTCCTATGTGCGCTGCAAGGGCCAATGGGTTCCCTACCCTTTCCAGAACAACATCTCCATGCTTCCCAAGGAGGACCAAGTTAAGTGCATTGATGGCCTGATTGATGCCGCTCTGGAAGCCCGTGTTGCCAACACGAAACCCAAGACTTTCGACGAGTGGATTCTTCGTAACGTGGGTGTTGGCATCGCTGACCTCTTCATGAGACCGTACAACTTCAAGGTCTGGGCTGTGCCCACCACTAAGGTAGGTTTCTAGGCTTCCACAAGGTCGCTTGAGCAACACAAGCCTTCCGGAACCGAGTCGCTAATAAATACTTCTGTAAAAATCAGATGCAATGCCAATGGTTGGGTGAGCGTGTGGCTGCTCCCAACGTGAAGACTGTCACCACCAACGTGATCCTCCAGAAGACTGCCGGAAACTGGGGTCCCAACGCGACCTTCCGCTTCCCTGCTCGTGGCGGTACTGGTGGTATCTGGATTGCGGTTGCCAACACTCTCCCTAAGGAGAAGACCCGCTTCGGTGAGAAGGGCCGGGTCACCAAGGTCAACCCGAACACCAAGGTCGTCACTCTGGCGGATGGCACCACGATTGGCTACGAGAAGCTGATCTCCACGATGCCCATTGACTATCTGGCCGAGGCAATTGGCGACAAGGAGCTCATTGACTGGAGCAAGGAGCTCTTCTACTCTTCCACCCACGTTATTGGTATTGGTGTCCGTGGACACCGCCCGGAGAGAATTGGAGACAAGTGCTGGGTAAGACCCCAATCATCACACTACATGACATTCTTCACTCCAAATGGGTCACTAACACAGTTCAATCACAGCTCTACTTCCCCGAGGACAACTGCCCCTTCTACCGTGCCACCATCTTCTCCAACTACTCGCCCTACAACCAGCCTGATGCCTCGAAGAAGCTGCCTACTCTGCAGCTGGCTGATGGCTCCAAGCCCGAGAGCCAGGAACCCAAGGAGGGCCCGTACTGGTCTCTCATGCTTGAGGTTTCCGAGTCCTCGATGAAGCCCGTCAACGCGGAGACCATCCTGGCTGAGTCGATCCAGGGTCTCGTCAACACCGAGCTGCTCAAGCCGACTGACGAGATCGTCTCCACCTACCACCGCCGCTTCGACCACGGATACCCGACCCCCTCTCTCGAGCGTGAGGGTGCGCTGTCCAAGCTGCTGCCCAAGCTGCAGCAGATGGACATCTGGTCTCGTGGCCGCTTCGGCAGCTGGCGCTACGAGGTCGGCAACCAGGACCACTCCTTCATGCTGGGTGTTGAGGCTGTTGACAACATTGTCAACGGCGCTGTTGAGCTGACTCTCAACTACCCCGACTTTGTCAACGGCCGACAGAACAACGAGCGACGCCTGGTGGACGGTGCTCAGGTGTTCGCCAAGAAGCACAACAAGTAAACGAAGAAAAAATAATAAAACAAAAAAGAAGATACCTGCATGTCGACAAACAATTGTCACTTCAATCTACAGCATTTTTTTCGTCTCTCCTCTTTTTTTAATCTCACGAGATACACGGAATGGAGCGAGTCGAAACTATAAAAGAGAAAGGGAGCAAAGCGAACAACGGGAAGATTTCTCGTCATTGTCAAATGCTTTTTTTCTTATTCCCCCGAAACCCTTGCTCGATTCTTTAATTTAGTTCTCTTTTTTTCTAGACTCACACATAAACTTTAGATCCTTTTTTTAATGAAGAAAAAAAAGAAAGAATATTTATTATTATTGCTTACCACAAACCTACCTAACCTGACTCATTTTTTATCTAGTACCCATTTATTGCCTACTTGCTTACCTACCTACCTACTTCGAACCAGACCGAGCATTGCTAAACTATCTATCTACCTACTTGGTTGGAAATCGTTTGAATTGGATGTTGTTTTCTCTATTGCTTTTTTTTAATGTCTCGAATTACCGGCTTCAATTTCGACTTTCCAAGTGAAAGGGGTGCATAGTAATTAGATACCTTGTTCTAGACCAATTTTTATCTCTTGCCCCTTCATTTTTGTGCTTCGTGTTGCATCTCCTTGCTTATATGAATTCCTAGATAGACACAGGATATCTTATTCAATGCCATACTTTTGCGGAAACCCCGTTCCACCAGGTAATGGACAAGTCGGTGTAGACGTGACTGATAGATACCAGTCGGCTAAGTGTGCCAAGATAGATTACCATAAATTGTGACGGATACCTTGCCTGGAAATCACATGTAATTTTAACACGACGGTCTGAACCTGAGATTGAGAACTGTCTCTAACACACATGACGGGTAACTGGTAGGTTGGTAATGAGACAATGCCTAAAATTGAGGAATACACCTTGTCCTGTCACCTCTTCATAGAGGAAGCTCTGCCAATTCATAGACATCCAGGTCACAAGCTGTCGAACGAAGCAGACCGTCGAGAAGAACGACGTCGACGTGGATACAACACTCCGAGCGGCCTATTCCGAACCTCGCTCAATCCAAAGTCTTCTGCAGTATCGTTCTCGTTCCCAAACTGCGCGACGAGCGAATTGAAGGCATTGCGAAAAATGATCGATTCTTCAAGGATGCGTTCGCGGACATCTATCCCCTGTTATATGTCGGCATTGCCCGTGGTTGTCCTGGTATTGATGGCATACTTACCCTGTCTGACCCAATAACAGACTTCACGAAATTATCATCCAACGATATAGTCGACTCGGTATCAGAGGAGTCTGACGCAGTATTGGTCTCATTTGAACTCGATCCGCTTCGGACGATCGATGCTGTCAATTCTGAGGTTGAACCGTCAAAAAATGAGCTAGTCGCGGAATCTTCGGATTTGAGTGAAAATAGATCGCTCAGCTCGTCCTTCTCTGCCTCCATGTCTGAGGACCCGATGAGTCTTGTTCGTTCAAATATAGTAGGGAAATATGATACAGAGAACGACGTTCTTGGTAATGACAGATCGAGGCCGGTTATGGATGCGTAGAATGACTTGGACGAAAAAGTAATACACTGTTAGCACCCCAATAATTCTCAAAGAGCATCTTTGGATGAAGAGTATTGAAAACGTACCTGTCCATCTCCTCTTAGATGCGCGAGTTTCAGCGAATTCCCTGTTACCATTGATAAGAAATCTCTCCTCCGAGCGGATGCAGCACGCACCGGGATCTCCTTTCCCACACGTAGACTCAAAATTGCGGGCAACTGTTCCAAACGAAGATTTACCGGCACTTCGTCGAGCGTCGAAGCTTTGACCTCGTGACGGCCATTCTTGGGCGTTACTGGACAACGTTCCTGTCGGCATCTGATCTTGGGACCGGCCGTTTTCAATAGTCACTGAGCTCGACTTGCAAATCCCTGCAGTGCTTATCTGTAAGTCGGATTCTCGACCAGCATTAAGAAGGGGAGAAAGATGTGATGGTTAACACGAATGAGGAGTGAGCTTCCTCTCTGAGGCAGCAAGCTTCATTAGAGGAAGCTGAAGCTGACTGTGTGCTTGGGGATGTTTCACCAAGAACCAGGAGCTGGACATTCCCTTGGGGGTCAGAATCAAGGATCCAGGCTGACATGGCTCTGGAGGCAGCAGAGTACGGTCCCTCAATCTGTGGAATGGAAGGACAGCCTACCATCATAACTCCATCGTCTGCAGTCGATTCAGATCCGTTCTCGCCGGCCAACTCTTGAGTGATACAGTCGGCGCAAGAGCTGCCATCGGACCCTGATGTCTCTACACTCAAGTGATGTCGGCATGGCACACACCACAGTCCATCGTCCTCAAAGTCAAGAGGGTTGCCAACTTCAAGCTGCTCGATTTCTGAGATGAGAGTCCTTTCGAGTGTAATCCGCTCAAGACTGGCTTGAATCTCTCTGTCAGTCAGCAAGATTCGGGTTGGTCGCACTCGAAGCATGGCGACAGCATCAGCGTAAGAATCGATCACAAGCCGTTGAAGATGATTTCTTTGTCTGGATGAGTGGCGACTGGATGTGCACAAGGTGATAAATGCCAACAGAGAGAAGTGAAAGAGGATGATGCAGAAACTCAGGCCAGCAAGAGGCAGGAGATGTGCTTGCTTGCTTGTTCTCGCTCAATGGCCTTGTTAGGAAGTTACGACCAAAGGCGACAGGCTGACGCCGAGAGGAGCCATTCTGGAAAGGGACAGGGCATGAAGGACAGTTGAGGCTGGATACAGGTACATATATTTCAACTATCTCCTTTTTTCCTTCTGTGCGATAGAGCATGATGGGTCAATTGATATACATATCTACTCCTCCATCCGAGTGCACCGGCAAGGGAAATGCACAACACACAATATAACAATCTATGAGGGCTCATTCCTGCGCCAGACATCTTCAAAGGAATAAGCCAGGCACTGTGCTTCCATATCGGCCTCTGGTCACGCTGGAACATGGCTTTGTGAGGGGGGCTGTGAGGCGCAGGCTTTGGGCGGGAATGTTGCGTGTCCCTGGGGTGGCTCTCCTCACTAACCAGTCCCCTAAGCCAAATCCATCCAAACACTCCCCGAACCTGCTGGGCATGCCATCCTCACCAGCTTCACTCCCAGCAACACCCCTCCCACCACCCCCTGCTGCTTGCTCGTGCTGAGTCCTCTCAGCACTGTCTTTCTACGCGTCTCATCCCTAGTGAAACTCAGTTCGGCCAGTATATGACCAGGAGAACCCGCCCGACCAGTCTGACGTATCCCGATCCGTACCATGCATTCGTTGTCTATGCGATCGCCGCCGCCATAGCCTAGGTACTCTATTTGTACCCTCGTGGCTATCAGTCAGGTCTGCTCTCCATCCTCCCAGGTGTCATCGGGGCGCCCCCTTTCTCCGTCACCGCCATCACGTCCCTCTCGAGTCCATTCTGACCGTCCTCTGCCGTGCTTCCGTCCGTTGCCAGGGATCCCAACATGGACGGGGATCTCAGTCTTTCCCAATCCTTTGGGGGGTTGAGAATTGCCAATCCAGATGATTCTTCCCTTAACGAGTCGGAAGATGCAGTGACCCCGGCCCTGGCGAGTATACCGGCATCAACGACACAAACCCAACCACCCCTCACAGAAGCTCCTCAGAACGCGTCCATACCTCCCTCATCGTCGGCCGATGAGCCAGAACAAGATTACTCGCCAACTGAACCGATTGGTGATATCAATTCCCAGACGTCCTCTACGCAGCATAATGCGCCGGATCCAGCGCACCAGCGCCAGGCGAATCGATCTTCAGTGGCCTACTACCCTAACCATTCTTCCTCGCAACATTTTTCCGGTCAGCACGGTCTTACCCGTACACCGTCGGCGCCCGCATCTCATTACGCTAATGGTTCGAATGCGGTTGCTCGCGACTTGAATAATTATCGGATCCGTACCGACTCGAATGCCTCGTCGGGAACCGACAAGATGAGCCGCTCTGATTCCAGAGGCGGCTCCTCGGCTCTTCAGGCGGGGGTACCTTCGAGAGACAGTAGTCACAGCGACCGATCTTATAAAACGGCCCAATTTCCGTCCGGAAACGGGCCACTGCCTCCACGACAAGGCACGCGGCCTGCCGGCCACAGCAATACTGCGTCCCAGCTATCTGGTTCACCATATTCGTTGGAAAACGGTCCTCCCATGAGCAGCGAGGAATGGCAGGAACGGGGTGCAGCCGTCGGGGTTCGCAAAGAGGTGGACGCCAATGGGCAGGTGGTTTCTCGATACATCAAGAAGGGAGTTCGGGATTTCTCTTTTGGCCATACACTTGGAGAAGGGTCCTACAGCACAGTAGTGCTGGCGACGGATCGCCAGACGCTGAACGAATACGCCATTAAGATTCTTGACAAGCGTCACATCATCAAAGAGAAGAAGGTCAAATACGTCAACATTGAGAAGGACACGTTGAACAGACTCACGGACCATCCCGGGATCGTCCGGCTGTACTACACTTTCCAGGATGAGCGGTCGTTATACTTCGTTCTGGATTACTGCAAAGGCGGCGAGCTGCTAGGCGTCTTGAAGCGGATGACCACTTTTGACGAAGAATGTACCCGATTCTATGGCGCCCAGATACTCGACACCATTGACTACATGCATAAACGGGGAGTTATCCATCGCGACTTGAAACCGGAGAATATATTGCTGGACAGTCAGATGCACACCAAGATCACGGACTTTGGTACGGCGAAGATCCTCAAAAGTCCGAAGAAGCCCGAAGAGGGCTCAAACGACATGCCGCCACTGGACTCCACCGAGATTCCGGAGGAGGAGCGCGCAAGTTCCTTCGTGGGGACGGCCGAATATGTCAGCCCCGAGCTGCTCACGGATAAGAATGCTTGCAAAGCGAGTGACCTGTGGGCATTTGGTTGTATTATTTTCCAGCTTCTGGCGGGTCGACCGCCATTCAAAGCCGCCAACGAGTACCTGACCTTTCAGAAGATCGTTGCACTGGAGTATGAATTCCCGACCGGGTTTCCTCCTGTTGCTCGTGATCTCGTTGAACGGCTTCTTGTCCTCGATCCTACAAGGCGCCTGCCAATCGAACATATTAAGAACCATGAATTCTTTGACGGAATTACATGGGGTCGAGGGCTATGGAAACAAAAGCCCCCCCGACTAAAGTCATATGTTCCTCCGCCTCGTGAGCCGATCAAGTTGAACGGCACTAGTGAAGGGGAGAGCTTCCCGCCAAATATCTCTACCACTCCGTCGACGGCAGCCAGCGTCAGTTCGAGAGCTTATCATCCACGAGTCATCACCGAACTCCCTCCTCCGAGCCAACTAGATATCGAGTGGTCGCCAGTACTGACCAAGAACAACGAGCGAATATTGAAGTTGGGCAATCTGGTCGTTCTCTCTTCTCCAGCTCCTCACAGCCCCACGTCAAGAAACGGAAACGACAACGAAACGGCAAAGAAATTTTCCCGCTTTTTTGGAGGAAGTACCACCAAGAAGCGGCAGCGCTTGGTTATGGTGACTTCCGCTGCCCGTATTATCTTGGCGGCGGCCGGTGGCGAGGAGAAGAAGGCGAAGCTGGAAATAAATCTCCTTGCCCCAGGGACGCAATACCGGAGTTCGACCGACTCAAAGGGGTCTTCGTCCTGGGTGGTTGATACGGTAAGTGTGATTCTATCTGGCGCCGTTGTTGAAAATGTCCAACTGACTGATTTGTTTCAAGCGAGAGAAGCATTTCGTTTTTGAGGATCCCAAGCCCTCGTCCGGCAATACGGGATCCTCGGCAATGTCGGCGCAAGAGTGGCTGGATGCCCTTGACAGAGCGAAGGAGATGGCGGCGTCTCAACAAGGACAGCAATATTCTGGTGACGAGGCTTACCGGGATATGTCGTCGGCATTTTCGAGCCAGACGAACACGTTGGACCACAGTTCTGAATTCCAGGGCGAGGGGAGGACCACTCACGTCAAACACCAAGGCACAGATTCGGATTCTGTCAGGGGCAAGAAACGATTCAGCAGACGGCATTCGAAGAATGGTCTTGCCGCTGTTTTCTAACGGACTTTCTAAGTCTGGTTGTTGACTCTGTAGTTCGACAAATCTTGTCTTGGGCATGTTTGCTACCAGGATCGAGCGTTTTCACCATGCATAGTATATCCATCCACCGTTACCGTTACCCTTTTTCTCCCCCCCCATTATTTTCATCTCCTTTGTTGAACCATTGTTTTGATGAAACTCCCTGTGTCATTTGACCTCTATAGCCAACCTCTTACAGGTTCTACTACCGTTTCATTCAGCATTGCCATTAGCTTGGTGGGCGTTTCGTTTCTCTACTTGCTCCTCTTCTGATCACGATGACGGGCATTTCGTGTCGAGGACGTATTTGCATCTTAGATTGTGAAAAAAGAGATGTACAGTTGCTTTGTTTCCCGGATGATACAAACAAGCATTTTATCTGTCGACCTGTCGTCTTGTACCTTTTTTTTTCTCCCCATTCTTTCCTGAGACCGAGCGAATCATCTTTTCCCTACTACTTACTCCCCAACTAAGCGTGGTTCATGCTTTTTCATTCTTGGTTCCACCTCCAAATCCCACAGAGTTCCTTCTTTTCTTTTCTTTTTTCTTTCTTTTTTCAATTGGTATACGTTTTGCAAGCAAGCACCTCGTCTGGTCTTGATCTGATCCATCAACAATCTCCTTTTCTCGTGAGCTTGGCGCATCTCTCCATCTAACTAACTTCAGCTTCAGTTTTTTTTCTTTTTTTCTCGTCTAACTGACTTCTTAACTATACATAAATTCTATCTATTTCTTTCCCCCCATGTCATGGTGCAATTAACTTGCACCTCCTCCTACTACCTATCCATCCACACCTACACACCACACCTCTTTTTTTTTAATGAATGGTATACATTCTTCGTGTTTGTTTAGTTTAGCGTTTTGTAGGTAAACTTTTTTTTTTGCGCAGAACTGATCGTCTACAATTTTTTTTCACTCCTAAACTACAATTGAATTTCCTATCTATCGACTTTAAGGATAATCCGTAGCAATTAATGTATGTCTACCACGTATGTATGTACTGTACAGTGTAGGTAAGCAAGTGCGACACTAATAATAGCGTGCAGGTAAGGGAGGATAGTGTCAGGGAGAGGATAGTGTAGGATAAGGCCAGACAAATTAAACAAATCCAATCGAATCAATCCATTGATCGATCGCATTGAGAAAACGAAATATTACTTAAATGTAACAGTAACTTAACGTAACCTACCTAGCCGCCCCTCTATCCTTCATTTTATCGTAGTTTATTAACTCCACGTTCATGCATGGGTTTCGTTTAAATTGATGATCTCAAGTAGATAGACTCAAGTAGATGGAGAGATGGATAGAAGATAATATTATCCTAGCAGAGCATTAATTAACTAACTACGTAGCATTCTCAGTATGTTCTTCAAAAAAAAAAAAGAGCAGATAAAATACCCGAAAGAAAAAGAAAAGGAAAAACCCGAAAAAAAGCAGAAGATAGAAAGAAAGAAAAAAAGGACGTCAGCGCTGAACCGAACCTTGTCCCAAATTCACACACAGCCATGCACAGCGCCTTGAGACCAGTGATATCCTGAGCATCGACAGAAAAACGGACTTGAGTCGTAGCAGATGCATTATGTACATTACACAGGATAGTCAAAATAGTCGGAAAAAAAAAGAAAAAAGACAAGATAAAGGCGATGGCTAAATAAAAAGCCAATCGATCCTCGACCGGTCGAGTTCCTGGATCCAATCAAATTCCGGTTCCTCGAAAGAATCCAGCATAGCTCCCCCCATCTGCGCTCGTTTTCTCTCCCACTCTCGACGTTTCTCGTCCTGTCGCTGCCACATCAGCTTTAACACCCGGGCTGCGTTCTGCACGTTGACGCTGATGATCGCACTCCAGAGGGCGCTCAGCCGCTCCAACGTGAACACGCGTTGCTCCGGGTACTTGCTTTCAGCGCCCGCGATGAAGGTGAGCCAGATCGTGCATTTGAAGTGCTCGTCGTCCGGCGAAAGGAGCGACAGATGATAGATCAGCTCATTCTCGACGGTGTCGTGGTCGCAGGCATCTCCACACGAGAGGGGACTGACTTTCGAGAGAACCCTTTTGGCGTAGAGATAAACCCCAGCCTTATAGGCGGACGCCAGGGCGATCCGTTTGGACAGATCCGGTAGGAAGTGGAACGTCTGCATCTCCTCCGCCCAGGCAATGGGATCGAAAGCCTCGATATGCCGCAGAATCGCCGCCGGCGACAACGGACGGCAAGAGGCTTCTGATGGGGAAAGGAATGACAGTGAATATTCCCCGGTGAGATCGCACTCGGAATACCGCTGTGCGTGGACGAAGAACATCACTTCCAGAAGATAGGCGGGACAGCCCACCCAGGAGGTCTTCTCCAGCCGCTTGAGAATGGCGGGACCCATCGCCTGAGAATAGAAAGGCTTCGACAGGACTCCGGGTCGGGCGAGAGTTGAACCCATGATTTCCGTTCTGATAGGCACGTTAACATTTCGATCCCATTAGGATATCTGGCGGCATATATAAGGGGAGAAAGCTTACATCAGACAGCTGTCGATGACAAACGTGTTCAGGCTTTCCATCATCCCTTTTATAGACTCATTAGGTGAAAACGGCTGTCGACTCTTGAGTAGATTCTTGGCACCCTCGAGATGGTATTTCCATGCGCCGCTCCCAGATTCTATGGCATCAAGGAGGATGAGAACAAATATCGCAGCCACCATTCGATCATCATTTCGTCTTATTGGGTCTGCGAGGTCTGCTGACAGCTGACGGAGCGCCCGTTGTTTGAGCCACAAGAAATGCTCATATGCTTTGGAGCTAACCTGCCGTGATATCGAAATCGCCGCCCTATCCTTCGCATCCTGATCCGAGCAGAACGTTTCGAATGTTGTTGAGTCGCTCGAAGTAATTGACAGAGGGACAGGCAGCTTGTTCGACGAGATATATGCGTAATGTATCGCTCCAACAGCAGCCAGGGCATCCGTGAGCACGGGTGACTCACTGATGAACGGGATGAGGTCCCGATAGGGGTTCTTTACAGCATCGTATAGAGCGAGGTCGCGAGCACAGCGTTGATTAACTGATATGTAATAGATATCCGGTCAGCTCTAGGACACGTGAAAACAATATTCACACCGGCGACACAGAAGCCACTTACAATGAGCAATGTAGAACCTTGAAAGGCGGCTTATGTCTTGAAAGAGAGGATCGACCAACGGCCGTGAGGGGGAAGGATCGTAATGACCTGAAGGAATTGATCGTACATGCATGAGGGTCCCATCTCCGTTGTGGTTTCGAGACAAAGGCTGCGATGTATCGTTCCAAGAATCGTCTTCGCCGGTCCAGAACATATCGTTATTACCATTATTATTTCGATTACTCCCTTCACTGGACGATTCGGAAGGCTCAGGCCGTTGCACCTGCTGTTTCTCAGGCTGTTTCTCAGGCCGTTTCTCAAGCTGTCGCTCCGACTGTTGCTCAGGGCCCGAACTGTCCCCTTCGGAAGGCCTCTTCTTGGTCCCACGATTGGGAGCATTACGATCCATTACGTCGTCGAAGCTGAGTCCCATCATCTTCCCACGGCTTGCAACACCGCCTTTGACCCAGACCAGAGGTTTCTGATAGCCTAGACATTCCTTGCCGGCGTCGCGGCATTTGCGACAGGTAGGAAGACCATTGTCGCAAACGATGCGGCGACGGCGACAAGTATAGCAGCCCTTCGTCATGGCTGGTGATTGATGGTTCTTTGCGGCTCTAGGAGGCGTTCTCTGGTGGTGAGTACGTTCTGTCCGCTCGAATCGAAGGCCGAGAGTCGCTGGCTCGGTGTGGATTCGCCATCCTCGACGGTTCACACGGCGGTCCTATGCATTTGACCGAAACTGGACACGAGGAAAGACTCTGTATCATCCATATGTGGACAAGATGCAACAGCAACACACGATCGAGCTCGACAGCGGCGGTGGGAGCAGATAAGAACTGGCCCGGGCCCGGGTTGTTTTACACCTCAGCGCGGGGAAATCGGGTTACATAAGCGCGTGGCGGCCACCCCTGACCAGAACACGTGTTGAGCACAGTGTTGAGTCAATTTTATTGCTTAACGAGTTGCAGTTGGACGCCTCCAGGCAGTCTGGACCGTTGTTTTCGTCTACTCTTGTTGCTTTGTGACTGTTGCCCAGCTGGCTGCGTCGTCCGCTGTCTCCAACTTAAGCTTTAAGGTTAGCGAGCCAGTATATCGTACATGCCTGGTTATCAAGAGAATACACCAGCTATAATGTGTAGATCATGGTATTGCGGACAAGATCGCCAACCACGTCAAAGTCACATGCTTCTCAGTCCCCAGTCTGTGAGTCCTTTTGGGCCTCTCTTTTGTTGAGGCTTCTGTCTCACTGGCTTCGCCACGCTGGGGGCTGGTTGGCGATTGGATTGTTCTCGCAACCGCCATCCACCGGCATTGTGGCCGGTGCCACTGTTCAGCTGCTAAGGAACAATTACAGCCCTTAAGCCCCCAGTAAGAATCTTTGTTCGCGACCCCCGACAGCCATGAAGCCCGCTGGGCCACTATTATCAACGACCCAAGGCTCCTGGGTGCGGGACCCGGCAACTAAAAGGAACTAAGCTCTAGGCTGAGCGTCTCTCTTTGTCAGGACTCGGAGGATTGGCTGGAGGCGCGCACAGTCTGGCCAAAGCCTGGAAGAACTACTCCATACTCCATACGGATTTAGTTAGCGAGACTGGACATTCACAGGCATGACTAACTTGGGTCTACCGTCTGCGGTCTCAGCAGTAGAGTGTTCTTTGTATCCTCGTCCCTCACAGCCACAGTCGTTTGGCTGGTTGTCTGGCTATATTGTTTCATCTGGCTTCTGAAGCGCTCTTTTCTGGCCGTTCCAGGGTTCCTGTCATCTTATCAAGAGCACTCGATCCAGATCGCGTCGGACTCGGGACCTAGATAAGTGTGCTCCGTCGCGCAGCGGCCAAGCACCCGCGACTGTGGTAAACATCCCACATTCGGCCAACTTTCGACACAGTCTACCCCAAACTCCTTTCGCGGAGTTTCCATCGATCTGTTTTCGCATCGCATCTGGTCAGGACCTTTTAGGATGTCGTGAGTGAGGGGTGTCGAGGACCAGCCTGCTCCAACCGATTGATCGATCTCGGCCATGGTTTCTTATCCGGAAAGAGTGGATCGTACAGCTTCAACGACCCGGCTCCCACCACCGCCACCTCCTCCTCCTTCCTCGTCGTCGCGCCTATCGCACTCGAGTCGCCATCATCGTCATGGCCGCTCCCACCAGGGCGGATCGTCTCACCAGCCGCAGAACGAGTTTCCCATTTTCGCTCACACGGGGGATGTGGAGATCGTGATCAAAGCGGGGGGACAGGAGAAGCGATATCTGCTCCATCGGCTGATACTGGCCCAGTGCTCGGGCTTCTTTGAGGCGAGCACCAGCGAGGAGTGGTCGCGCGCACAGGCACAGAGGGAGGGACAGCCCACTGCAGGATCGTCCGAGTCTGGTCACAGCTTGCCTAGTGTCCCTGAAGATGGATCAGGGTCTGGCGAGTCAGGGAGACGAAGTATACAGGGGCCGCCGGCAAAGAAGAGATGGAGATATGAGTTGGACTGGGAGAACAGGGAAGAGGATGAGGAGCCAATCCTGGTCCAGAAGGTGTGTCAAGAGTCATGATCCCGCCATGACTGCCCAAATGACGCTGACTCTCCCGTGAATATGCAGCCTCCAAGCTCTGAGAGCATCTTCGAAGGAGCAGACTTTTCGCGTCCTCCACCGACGCCGATAACCAAGCCATCCACGCCACGGGCAGGTTTCTTCCGGTCGGTGGCCCATCTGGCTGGATTGCAATCTGCCGTGCATCTTCCTTCCTCTGGTGCGGCTCATGATGCCGAGCTGGACCCTTTGATCCGGGACTACGACAACCTTTTCCGCATCTTCTATAACTATCCTCCGATCCTGAACAGTGTCAACATTGCCTCTGCCTATGCGGAATGCAAGTCTCTCCTGAATCTGGCCGACATGTACGACGCCCTTCCTGTGGTGGGACCGCGAGTCGACCATCATCTTCTGCGCTTTTCATCCAGGCTTTTCAAACAGATTGCGAAATACCCGCCCAGCTACTTGAAATTAGGTTACCTTGCCCGCAGCAAGGTCATATTTTCGGAAGCGCTCATCCATGTGGTGGGCCAGTGGCCCGCGGCGCTACCGCATCTTCGAAATGGGTCTTACCCACAACTACCCGACTCGATTTTTGACCTGATCGAGGACAAGGTGGAGGATCTCGAGGATCTCAAGGCGCGCGTGGAGGCGAAACTTTTCCGCCTCACCCTGACGACCTCCCGAGGGGAGCGTGTGAGTCCAACGAACGCCTACCTGGACTGGCTTGCCGTATCTTTATTCCGGCAGTGGCTCGTGGAGAATACGACGCCACCTCCGGCACCGATACTCAAGAACTCCCCTCAACGGAATACGGCCAACGGCAGCAACGATCCTCAGCAAGGCAATGGCGCCATGCAAAGCCCAGCTGCCCCGCCTGTTCCTTCAGGCCGGGTGTACCGCCTCCTTGGGTCGTCCTCGACTGAGGCCTACTTGCCGCGTGATGAATTGAAACGTTTCCTCAAATTGCATCCGACCCCGTCATCGTCGGAATCTCTCTATACCCGGGAGAACCTTAAGCGGTTCGAGAGGAAGATGGACGAGATCAAGCGACTTGCGCGGGAGATCGTCAAGCCGCTGATGAGGAACTTCCTTGAGCTGGATCTCAAGGGAAGCGATAACCGGGGAGGGTCCGGAGGAAGTGGCGTCGGAGACGGCGGCCTGGGAGGGCTTCCTTATCTCACCTGCACCCGGGTGGAAGAATCTGACTTTCCATGGGACTAGCATCTCTTGATGATCTATTCTCGCGCGTCGAATGCGCTATTGCCATGAACACGACATAAGAAGGATTTCCCTTGGTATGATATATGTTATGACCTAATGAAACGTGATATCCATCCTGCATGTCTACCTT